CCGGTTTCATGTTCACCTTTTGTTCCGGAAAGTATGACGTTAAACCACTTTTCATTCATTTACTTATTCAACAAACATCACCATGGAACAATGGAAATGGACGGTTACCAATTGATATTACCGTGATAGTTTGTTTTCTATGTAGGTATGTGTGTGGCGGGGGGGGGGATCAGCAAGTATCACAAATATCTATTTTGATCTGTTTTCCATATATTCGAACAACCAGGTGGTGAAGAGGAATTAATATCAATGAATAAATTATAACTCTAAGTATATACTGGACACAGGCGTCAACGTAAGCCAATATAACTCTTGTTCTAAATCTGTGTTCATATCACAATAACATCACTACTGTGTGAGCCGCAGAAAATAAAAATCTTATGTTGTTCCCTATGATTTGTTTAAATCTCATTGCGTCATTTTGGATCAACATGAATTCATTGTAAATTACAGTATTGTAAAAGATGAATCTCTAACAGAGATATTAGTTCAAACATGGTTCAAATCCCGTTCAGAATTTACAATGATATGTGGAATTGAAATTACATCGATCTATGCTGTACAACATGTAAGACATCCGCCGCCATTTTGATGTGAGCGAATAAAATTAATAGGCCTATTTTAAACCCGATTGAATCCAAGTCGGGGAGTTATTTAGCTTTGGTATTTTGATTTCTGCTTAATTATATGTTAAATATTTAAGTTTATATTAGCCTGAACCAATCTGTGTGGTCAGTAGCTTTTTAAAACATACATGACGTTAAAGTTTTCAATTTCTAGGCAACTATGCAAACAAATTGATGACTGAGCGACTTAAATTGATGAGCAACTCTAAATTGTGACAGGATTTCTTCTAACGATTAACCAAACAATCCCAAGCAGTCCCACTAATATCCAATTAAAAACTCGAACCTGTATTGCGTTTACATGGTTTCGGTTCAAGTAGCAGTAACTGCGACAAAATCGTTGAGGGATTCATCATCCATTTATGTGACTTTGTACTATGCGTTCGTTGGTTTGTCTTACTGATTTCAGAACAGTAGGACGTTAACCCCCATTTCATTTCATTATTCTTCTTGATTTCTATATGACTGTAAGGTATTTGGTTCTTCTTCTACAAGATTAACCAAGCAGTCCCACCATTATTGAAAACTTTTAGGGAGTTTACAATGTTTTTGTAATAGGGTAACTATCTCTGTGAAAATAAACCAGGATTCGTGCCTAGGACAAGACGTGTAATCTTTGTAAGTTTGGAAAACAATTACAGTTCTTCTTCCTGATACAACAATAATAAATGGATTTATCTCCCTTTCATATTGAAATCGTCAAAAATTACTCAATGTATCTTGTCCTTCTCTTATAAACTATACGTTGTTAAATTCCGTTCAGTTTACAAAGATATGGTAAATAAGAAACAACTTCGTTCCAAACACAGGGAATTTAAAGAAATCTCGAAGATCTATCTAGTTGTTACAACAATACTTTATAAAACAGACGGACAAATAATTATCCTGGCCTAAGGCGCAAAAATATTCGACACTATTTGAGTCTTTGGTCATCATTTACATAAAATCTTATTCGCCTGTACATCACTTATTACATGGTGCATAAATTACCAATATGCTACGCGATGAGCGTTCCGTTCTCTGAACCGTTCCACGATGCTATAAAATGCAGGAAATTTGCACCGTTTACATTGGTAATGTACACGGGTTGGTTTTGTCGCTTGCTCATTCCTCGGGATTCTTCAACCTAGTCGCTGACAACACTTAATCGATTTAATATCTCATAATCTTCAGCTGCAATAAACAGAACAGGGTTATCTTTGATACCACTCTCCTCCTATTAAACAACCTAGATACCTAAACCTCACTAGACAGAACATGGTTATCTTTGATACCACTCTCCACCTACTTAACAACCGAGATACCTAAACCTCACTCTCCTATTAAACATCCTAGAATCCTAAATTTGACTAGACAGCTCTGAATCCAGTTTGTCAGAACACTTCTCGAATCTTAAACCTGACTAGACAGCTCTGAATCCAGTTTGTCAGAACACTCCTTGAATCCTAAATTTGACTATATAGCTCTGAATCCAGTCTGTCACCACTCTCTTCTGATTCCCGAATCCTTAAGCACAATGATCTCATTTTAAAACCATTCCATCACTTCAACCCAGTTGAACCTAACTTTCCCTGTTTGATGTAAACCATTTCATCACTTCAACCCAGTTGAACCTAACTTTCCCTGTTTGATATAAAACCATTCCATCACTTCAACCCAGTTGAATTTAACTTTCCCTCTTTGATATAAAGAAAGTTATTATCGGAACATTTTCATACTTGACTCAGTTGACCTCTGACCAATAAAGTAGGGAAGTTTAAACCAGGCCCACCAGTCAACTCTATGATTGTATGGACCCAAGACTCAAATATTGCTACTTGTACCCAAAATGTGAGACATTTTGATTACAAAAACAAATGAAAACGTTAACAGAACACCGTTTGTTTTAGGAAACATTCACTACTTTTATTCTAAAAGAACGTTTCGACAAATATCCTCTTATTGTTTCCTTAAACTAAACTGTGGTGTGATAAATGTGTTTTCCGATCGCTAAATGACACTTAACGATTATAGATGAAATAAACTTTTTAATCAATTCATACTAAGAAAAGAATAATTCTAATTTCATTCTTTGATTGGATGCCCTCCTGTAACGGATTCCTCCCCCTTTCTCCTACAGCTGGGCCCATTTACCATATTGGCCGCTTATGTTTTTTCATTTACATTTACATTTGTTGGTCTTATATTAATAAAATTTTAAAAACTTATATTTCCGTCTTGTAGAATGCTTTTTATTCGTCTAATGGCAATTAATATAGACCATTTCAAATTCCGAGAAGATTTTTTGCTTTGCTTTCTTATCTTGGCTGACGGAACAGTTCGGCAATAAACTTTCCACTTCACCAATCTCAAGGCATGTGTAATTGTATACGCTGCGCTAAACTGTAAAATCCCTGACCGTTGCTGCCACACAGTCACTCTGACTTCGTTTATGGTCCGTGTCAACACTTCCCTCTAAGGGTCATACAGAATCCCTCTTTTCCTTTTGTGAACAGTTTGTTTATGACCGAAATCATATATCCGCAACTTGGCGATGCTCTCTGGAAACCACATATAGCCGCAATAAATTGGGGAAATACTTTTCTGAAAAGTCTAATGAAGACAGACCATAGATACCGTGTTCTATGTGGGACATCGGCGCTATTGTCTACTCTTATTTCGAATTCTGTCGAGAGTTCTTTTCCGTACATACCAATAACGTACCCTAACTTATATTTTGCCGATAGATTATATCTTAACCATTTAGAAACGACTCCGAGCCATAATTTCATGTGCCAATATTTCAACAGCATGGTAGTAAAATTACATTCTATTAATTAGATATAGATTAAAAACCAAACAAGACAAGTAATTGTGTTCCAGGTATTTATTTTAACTTGAACGGTTCAGTGCTAACTAGTTATGACTGGATTTCGTTGACCTTCACCTTGTCTACAGCTGTAACCAAAATTTATCTGATCTGGAACGTATCGTGTAGGTTTCTTGCCACTATAAGCAGCACGCGTGCCTACTCCACATGGGGTCAAAGTTGAGACATATTAAAGGTGTAATTTGTAATACTACCGTCTAGCAGCACGCATGTTTTCACCACAATCTGATAAAGGTTCACGCGGCTAAAGTAAATAAACAGAAGCTATGAGTTATTATATCAAATAAAACGTACATCTTCATCTTTTGGGGAACCGAATTAAAATTACGCTATTTCAGTCATCTTTTGGGAAGGGGGGGGGGGGGAGTGAAATATAATTACGCTATTTCAGTCATCTTTTGGGAAGGAGGAGTGAAATAGAATTATTTCAGCCATCTTTTGCGGGGTTGGATGGTCGAATGGTTAGCACGTGCACGCTGTATCATAAGGTCTGTCATTGAGTCAACTGGCATGGTTTCGATTCCCCAGTTGTACGTGACAAGGAGTAGGGTCGTCTGTCCAACCTCGTAGGTTTTCTCCGGGTCCTCCAGTTTCTTCCCACTGCTAAAACACCCACGCGCAAGCGAATTATTGAAATAAAATTGAACCATGTGTTAGTCCCGAAATTACCTACTTTGTGTCGAGTGAACGTTAAACCACATTTCTCTCTTTCAGCCATCTTTTACTAATTTTTAATTTCATATGGAAAGGTACGGTGGTATGTAATTTTATTAACAGGGTTGTTGCGTGGGTACCGAGAGGAGGTGAAATGGGCGATAAAGGCTCACCTTCCTCAATAGTATTTCTATTCCTTAGTTTAAAATATTTCCCGGTAACTCATTATGGCTAGCTACGCTGACAGCCCCCTGCCCCCCCCCCCCTCCCGTGTCACCAGATACACTCCATCACAAACATTTTTATTTATATTCTGTATTAATAGTCTATTTACAAATTTATATGGTTTATGTTTGTTTATTATCTGTTATCTCTTCAAAAATTTCCATTGTCTCAATTTCAGGAATTCATAATACGGATTTGTGTTAGTATTGAGTTTGGCACTGAAGCGCGTGCTCGTATAAAATTACCGGCGTTGCCAAGGTAAACTGTCGAACCACCATTACTTATAACATTCCTGGCTATTTATAGAAAAGTTAGTTTAAGATGGGGACAAAAGATTTTAATAAATTACAAATGACCTTGGAATCGATTTAAATTTTCGAATTAAATGAATAGCGATAATATCTCTACTTCGATTATAGAGTAGTTTTGAATAAAATCAAGAAAATCAAACTGTCTGTTATTCCCGTGGTGTGGAAAGTACGGGTTTGCCAAACTTGGTCTTAGCATCAGTGAGAGGGAAAGCTTTCGCGAAGAAAGAGTGAATCACAAGTCATCCAATCAAAGTTAGCAAAGGGCATCACGTGGTATGCAAATTAAGTACGAGGAACTAGCGCGTGGAAACCTGATCGCGTTTTGTCTGTTGTGTGTAGTGTGACCGGCATCAAGGAGTACCTGCTTGAAAGTTTTTAATCCTTAGTTTCCTGCATTGATACATCCTAAAAATACTTTAAAAATGGCCCATTTGAGAGCAGTGAAAGCGGGATTGGGACGAGACTGTCAAATGAAGGTATGTTCTCGTTTGATATTTTTAATAAATGAACTTTTATTTTCGCGTTAAAACCCATGGCATCCTAAAAACATCCGAACCATGCTTATCTGGAAGACCTTTCTCTAGATATTTGATAATAATATCGACCAATTTTATTCTCAATTAATCATTTTTATTACAAGGGTGGGGATTCCATATTTTTGTATCTCAACCCTCGGTTTCCCTATTTTGTATTAATAAGTTGATCTTCATCCGGTATTTTATAATAATATCGACCAATTCATCCTCAATTATTTTTTTTAATTAGAATGGGTTAATTGTATTTATGGGGCTGTCATGAGATTAGAGTTCCCTTTTTTACCTATTTTTTATGATGTCTGTGTGAGATTATAGAATTCATATCGATGTCTGGATTAATTATTATATTTATTGAGAATTATTTTGTTTGGATATCAAGGTAACACCTAAAATCATAATGTAAGGACGGTCACTATAAAGTACGAAACTACAACATATAACATCAGTTGAGTTTAATTCATAATCCACGGTGGATTGTTGCACGAATTTTTTGGAAAGATGACGTTTTCGGCGTTGTTCGCCAGCCGTTTTCTGTCATATACATAGGTGAATGCATTATATAGCTCTTAAATTCAGTTATACGGGATAATTACCGACAAATTGAATGCCTTGTTTTTAAAGAACGATGAATAAGCATCCAACTACAACAAAATAAGTGCGACCGTACTGCATGGACCAGAAACCCAACATGGAATCATTACCGCCATCTTGGAATTGTCAATCGATGTGGAATTGTCCAAGGAACCGACATCCCAAGCTTGATGTCGATTGTACATGGATTGGCGGAGTCTTGGTCTTTTTCGAAGAACGTCGCCCCTTAAAACAGTAAGGGATCATTTCTGGGTCAAAGAATATATGGTTTTTATCGTCCATCTATTGTGACGCAATATTATGTTAATTATAGAATTCCTGTAGAATATATTATCACCGAAACAAAGTGTTAGGCCGCTATCACCAAAAGCGGTGTATCAGCATATATGTGTTATTTATACCGGTGAAAGCTGGTGAATATTGGCACCTCTGACGTTAATGATGGCAGTACTGTGCTGTAACAGCTCATAGATATCATCGCCTTCTCACTGGGTTACTCACCGAGTTATATAATATCTCACGCTTAGTGGTCATCTAGCGAGAGATAGAGAGCGAGAGAGAGAGAGAGAGGGAGGGAGGGGGTTTAACGTCCACGCGACACAATCTAGGTCATTTCGGGACTAACATATGGTCCAATTCTACTAACATAATTCGCTTCCGCGTAGGGGTCTTTAGCAGTGGGAGGAAACCGGAGTACCCGGAGAAAACCCACGAGGTTGGACAAACGGGGAATCGAAACCACGCCAGTTGATTCAATGACAGACCTTATGATATAACGTTCACGCGCTAACCATTCGGCCATCTAACCTCCATCTTATAAAGGTGAACACTTAATTGATTGTGTTGTTGGTAGCATATGGTTGGGGTTTTTTTTATTTTAGGGGGAAGGGGGGGGGTGCTGTGTTGGGAGTCGAATTTTGCCTTGACAGCTGCATTTTAACTTTTCTTTGGCTTTCTTCTGCTAACAGCAATGAAGGGAATATTGTGTATAAGTGCCATCAAATGTTATAGTATGATTACATGTCATACCCTACCTATGCAGAATATATGGAGCCATTATGACTCAGTAAGTAATGCCATGGACCTTATAATACATTGACTGCTTACGAGAAGCAATATCGCTAAATGCCTGCCGCGCGAGAAAACACGAAAGACGCCAATAGCGATATTACTCAATGTCTTCGGTAATTAGCTATAAGGTCCATGGTAATGCTCACGAACCAAGAGATCACGGGAAAGTGCCATATGAGTTTCTTTTAGCTGGGTTTCCTCTTGTCAGTGGTGCATGACGCGTTGAGGTGGGGGGGGGGTACAAGGAAGAATGTCTTGTCGGTCGGATGGGACGAAAAACCAAGGTTTCGTGCACGTAAAAGAACCATCGACAAAATTGATCTGATAACACACTTTATGGCCGTTTTTATTATCCCGGTTGGTGCAGAAAAGTAGGCCGTTTAACCCAAATGTGCAGAATATAAGACAATTTGAAATATTGCTGACATGTGTGTACAATAATTCATCAAGCACTGACATTATAAATTATCTGCTGGAACCACGTGTAAATTTCTCAATTATACATTATCTGTTGGAACCATAAACCGCTGAATAGAAACACATGTACATTCCTCCATTAATTCTACTTTAACTATTTGAAGTTGAGCCACCGATCTAAATGACAGGAATGTTAGTATATGGTTATAGCTTCTACAAACAAAGAAATATTGTCGGTTTTTCAATAGACCTGATCCATAGACATGATCAATGTAATGATAATAATATATCAACTTTTATAGGGTGGGGGAGCTGCGGTGACTCAATGGGTAAGACCTTGACTTGCTAACCCGGAGGACACGTGTTCGATCCCTGCCTTGGTGAGAAGGTTCGTCGAGATTTCCGCGTGGTTCCTCCTTGTCAGTGGTGCAGGACTGAGGGCATGGCAAAGGACAACGTATCGGCGTTCGGATCGGACGAAAAACCGAGGTGCACGTTAAAGATCCCTTGGCAGTTAGAATTCGATAAAAGAGTAAGCCGTAGAGTCGCTCTCCGGGCAAAATTTCCCTCATAGCAACCGGAGCAGAACGGTAGGACGTTAAACCCCATTTCATTTTATAGAATGAGTTTAACGTCCATTCAACACAAACTAGGTCATGTCGGGACCAACATATAGGTCTTCTTCGGGTCCTCCGGTTTCTTCTCATTGCTAATGTCCCTAAATGACCTAGTTTGTGTCGAATGGACGATAAACCCCATCTCTATCTCTCTCGCTCAATATCTCTCATTCTAGAAGATATCATATTATATTTATGTACTGGATGACCGATTGCCCTTCCGAGTAACGGCTTTTATTTTTCTGGCAATTTCTGAACTCAAACCTATATCAAACACCCAGAGAACGCCATTTAAATGTTCGTTGTGCTAGAGTTAAAGCTCTCGTGTGCACGTATACTATTCAAAAAAAGTAGGGGATATTTGATTTTGGGGGCATAATACTAAAATATGCAAATGACTATGAAAAAAGTCACTATAGAACCTAACAGAAGGGCGACAACTCAAGCCCAGGATCGATTTATCCGTACCTTGGCCTTGAGAAATCGTGTCATCACAGCAAATCAGATCAGCGCTCGTCTTCAAACAGACACTGGTGTGAGAGTGAGTGGCCAGACGATTCGGAATCGACTGCATAGGGGTCACCTTCGCGCCCGACGTCCTCGCGTGATCCCTTGTTTGAGAGATCATCACATTCAGGCAAGACGTCGTTGGTGTAGGGATCGTCAACACTGGGATAATCGACGCTGGAGCAATGTGATGTTTTCAGATGAGTCAAGGTTCACTGTTGATTTTTTGGACAGACGTAGGAGGGTGTGGCGTCGTCGAAACGAGCGCTTCCAAGACGTTAACGTCATCAGACATGATCGATTTGGGGGTGGTTCTGTTATGGTGTGGGGAGGCATCACTGTTGCTGGAAGAACGGCTTTACATGTTGTTGCAGGGCGTGTTACAGGCCAGTACTACCGGGACAACATCTTGGCAGTCCATGTTGTGCCGTTCGCACGACGTCATGGCCGCCGTTTCATCTTCCAGGATGACAACGCAAGATGTCACAGGGCCAGGATCGTTACAGGTTACCTCCAACAACAGAACATCACCACATTACCTTGGCCAGCACTGAGTCCCGACCTCTCCCCCATCGAGCATGTCTGGGACATGCTTGGACAGAGGTTACGTCAACGTCAACAACGTCCTGCCAATGTCCAAGAACTTGCTGCTGCGTTGCAACAGGAATGGGACAATCTGGACCAAAATGACCTTAGACGTCTCATTAGGAGTATGCCACGTCGGATCAATGCTTGTTTGGCAAACAGAGGAGGATTTACCCGTTACTGACTTGGTTGTGATGCTGTGGTAACTTTGCTGTTTGACCCCGGGTATCATTTTACCCTTATAATGGTCAGTCTGTGCCTTACTTAGTCTAACGATCATTTGGAATACATCGAGGAATGTGAACTTCATTTCATTTTGTCATTTGTTTCTTCGTCAGTTTCTTTAGGTGACTTTAATAACACTTAAAAATCAAATATCCCCTACTTTTTTTGAATAGTATATTATTGTTTCTGTTGGTCCACAATCACACCCCTATCGCATAACAATGGTACAAGACGATCGTATCGCTCAGAATGGATTTATAATTTGATCTTCAATATATTCATTTTTCATCACCTTTTTTACTTTTTATTGTCACAAGAACAGTGAGCTCTTTATCCAAATCTTTCATAATGTATGTTTAAATGACGAAGCGCCTGTAGAAAGATCTGTGTTGATTGGTGTAAATGTTTCTATACCTATACATATATTTATTTGAGGGTGTCTTTAATCTAGGTCTACTATATACAAATGTTCTATAGATCTGGTATATACTAGACAGATATCGGTTATACATTATCTCTATACCTGTTATAGCTGGCTGATATAGATACACACAGGCTCTCTCTCTCTCACACACACACACACACACACACTGCTCTTATTTCAACTATGTACACAAACGCGTGCGCTTTAGATCTGTCATTGAGTCACGTGGCGTGGGTGGTTTCGATCCAAAATCTGTAAGTGACAAGGCGTATGGCTGCCTGTCCAACCGCGTGGTATTCCTCCGGGTCCTCCGGAGAAAAGGATTAGACCAATTATTGAAATACCATTGAACCATATGTTATTTCCAATTATTTAATTTTGAACACGAATGTATGGAAACTATACTGTTCAGGAAAAAATCTTCTCCCTCGCACTTGACAGGAAATAAGAAAATTATCGTATGTCACTCTCAAGTGAAATGGGGTTTTGATGGTCAGCTGAGTTGACGCATTCGATGTAGAGCATATGACAAGCTGCGGATTCGACCACGAGTTTGTAAACCACGTGGAGTAGGGTCACCTGCCAAATTGCTTTCTACTTGCTTCTAACTACTGTGTGATGCAGTACGCAGGGCCTGGCAAGAACAGCTGTCTAGTCGTTAGAATGGGACGAAAAACCGAGGTTCCGTACATACACATTGACGTTCACGTAAAAGAACCCTTGACAGTTGGAATTCGATGTAAGAGTAGGCCGTAGCACGTACCACTGTCCGGGCAAAACCGTCTTCATAGCATACTGTATGGTACATGTCTGTCTTCATCAGCGCAGTAGCAGCAGTAGGAGCAGTAGCAGCAGTAGCAGCAGTAGGACTTTAAACCCTATTTCATTTTATTTCTATAACTCTGTTAAACGTGTTAAATTCTAGAAACACAATTTGATATCGATCGGCATTGTGTTTTAGAAACACATTTTTTTTCGGCTATGGGCCTGATGCAATCTTTATCCTGGTTAAAGTGGTAGATCTAAGAAGAGCTTGGCCAGTATATTAATTTATTAAAAGTCATAGATTGACATGAGTGAGTGGTAAATTCTAGAACAGGTTTTGTAATATATGATGATATAACGTGTAGACATACTGATGCCATGACTGCTGGCTAAGCAAATCACACAAATTAGTGTTGCTAAAAATAGATTACCTACCTCATCAAGATGAGTAAAAACAGATAGAAAGTAAAACTACACAACCAAAATAACTCATCGTCTTTCTAACACACTATATTATACCCACTAATGTTTAACAGCTTGACTTTCAAGTATTATACCCACTAGTGATGATAGCCGGGTCTTTCTTTCGACTTTACGCCAACAAGGCTACTTCAGACAAATTCATGGCATTGGTGAAGGTCTGTCGAACCTAAGATAAGGACTTGGGGTGGGGTAGACAGGTGATCGAGGATTCGGGCAAGAAATGAAATGAAATGGGGTTTAACGTCCTACTGTTCTGCTCCTAACCTGGGCTAATGAAGACGGGCATACGCCATACAGTGTGCTATGAGGGAAATTTTGCCCGGGCAGCGGCGCTACGGCCTACTCTTATCGAGATTCGGGCAAGTCAGTCACAGAAACAGATTATCATTTCCTTTCTTACATTATTGGGTTTAATTAAAACAGTAACCTTGTGGTATTTCCGGTTTGAAATTAACCTTGTCTGCTTTCGATTTCTAAAAAGAAATAGGGTTTAACATCCACTCGACACAAACTAGGCAATTAATGAAATCGGAAATGTTTATTTGATCTTTGTGTCTATTAAAGATGAAAAACTGATTACAACCGCAATACAAAATAATATACTAATTTTTGAATTTGGCTGCCGATTAGGACAGAGATCTATACTGATCATAGATAGTTCTCTTTTTTCAGAACGGCACCTTCTCATGCCATGTGCAAACATTTCCTAAGAGTTTGGATTTATTGAGAAAATATGTCTTTTATGTAGAAGTTGGCAAAAACACCAGCGATAAACGATAGTGATGTATACTCGAGTTTTCTTCTACTCCACTCTAGAAGTTGGCAAGAATGCCATAACTAAACGATGGTGTGTCAGCCCGAGAATCTAGTTTAACATCAAAATATTTCGACACTAACACACATTGTTTATTTCATTACATGAATATCTAGAAACAGACCATCTCCCCCCCCCATCCTCTCTCTCTCTCTCTCTCTGGCATAGTGTGTACCCCTCCCTCTCTCTCTCTCTCTCTCTCTCTCTGTGACATAGTGTGTACCCCTCCCTCTCTCTCTCAATGACAAAGTGTGTACCCTCTCTCTCTCTCTCTCTCTCTCTCTCTGTCATAGTGTGTACATCCCCCACGTAATCCCCTCTCTCACGTAATTTCTATTTATGTGCCTCCGCCATGACGCGTACGACACCCCCATTTCGTTTGCCCCCGAAACGGATTTTTTCGCATTTCAAAACCATCATAAAAAAAATTTCATATAGACGTATTGTTTCATATCGAGAATAGGATGATTAGTATCCCCCCCCCCCCCCCAAAAAAAAAAAAAAAAAAAAATCTATAGATAGTTTTTTATTTGCAAACAAATTTCCATTTAACTGCACAATGCCAGAATATATATTACTGTATAATAATATGTTGGTTGGCATGAAGTAAATTCTACAAAGGTGTAGCCAATTAGCATTGAACGCGCATATTATGGACAACTGCCAGAATATTCAGCTATCTCAGCGATCGACATCCCAGTAACAGAGGGCCAAAATAGAACCACTGGAATATTTAGATGAAACTAAAGATATATGTTAATGATCAATACAAATTATATTTAGTTGCTCGAAAGTCGACTATTTTGAAAATAGTCGCCTGTCCAACCTCATAGGTTTTCTCCGTGTCCTCTGGTTTCCTCCCACTGCTAAAGACCCCTACGCACCAACGATTTATTGAATAAAACTAAACCATATGTTAGTCCCGAAATGACCTAGTTAATGTCGAATGGACGTTAAACCCCATAGGAGTTGCTGAATCAGCAACTTTTTACAAATCATGTTATGACTTGTTCATCATGTAAACGTCACTTTGTGTTTTAATATACTTGCATTTGTATGTGCAATACAGACAGACCGCCGTAAGATGACCAAATGATCTTTTTCAAAATCCATTATATAAGATTTAGATAGAGAGTTGACCGTTATAATAGGTCAAAAAAAGTAATGAAAATTTCGGTCAAATTACTTTTAAGTCTTTGACATTTCGTCAGTTAAGCCGCCCATATGAACTGTTTATGTTCATGTGTAGGCAACTGGCCTGTTATTACCTCTAATAAAAACAGCAGTGCATGTCCTCTGTTTTGGGAAGAGTATACTACAGGGGAAAGGAGTTAAGCTAAAAATGTTGTCATATTTGCCTTAATTTTTTTGCCAAATCTATCGGGCAGTGAGATGGCATCTTTGATTTGTTAAATGAACAAATGTTTCAACCTTTTCCAAAAATGTATGAACATGACCGGATTCTTCCTTAGCCCGGTTTGTGCATAACAGTAGCACGTTAAACCCCATTTCACTCATAACATGGCCACTATGACGAACTTTCTTTGTTGTATTGTATATGCCAGACAAATGTCTGGGGCGGGGGGTCGAGTTGCTTAACGCGTGCACTATAGATCATGAGAGGTGCCCCGGATTCACGTTTCGTGGTTTAGATCCCAGGCGTGCAAGAATAGGATAAGATGCGACCCTGCGTGACCTTGTGTGTTTTGTTCTGGGAAAGACAGAGCATTACGTTGAGTGGACTGTTAGATATTATTCATCCTCCATAGCTCGGTACGTCTTGCCAAACACTTCACGTAATACCTTATATATTTCGATTGACTACTGACTCAGCTGGGGACCTCTCAGATTCCGCGATAGAAAATAAAATTTCGAATAGCAAGTCTCGCGCTTTCCATCTTTGATTTGAGTGTGTTTGTGGCACGACCACTGATTGGACAACGCTATTGTTCACGTGTACCTGGAATTTCTGACTAATCTAGCAACGGCTAGATCTTGTAAAACTCACGGTCGTTGTTTCAGGAACATGGAGGTTATTTGGCACTTTTCTCTCTCATGATAAAAACCGACCGAGTCAGCGAATCATGGAATACATGTAAAGGGAGGGAACTCAAACTAAATTTTGAAGCGAGTTTACTTTAATGTTTTGTTTCAGATAGACTCGGCTTTTACGAGTGGTGACGCCATAAAAGTCCTGGAATGGGTTAAAGAAGAAACCGGGGCCGATTTCGAGATCGCCGACTCAGATGACAGAACCAAAAGTATCGATAATTTTCACGATGTTTTAAAGGATGGTTTACTGTTATGTCAGTAAGTAACACATTTCTAATAGAAATCAAACGAAATGAGGTTTAACGTCCTACTGTTCTGCTCCGAACTGTGCTAATGAAGACGGGCATACGCTATACAGTGTGCTATGAGGGAAATTTTGCCCGGCAGCGACACTACGGCCTACTCTTATATCGAATTCCAACTGTCAAGGGATCTTTTACGTGCAAGCCAAAGTGTACACGGGACCTCGGTTTTTCGTACCATCCGAACGACTAGACAGCTGACCTTGTCAGACCCTGAAAACGCGTACATGGAATACGGGTTTAACATATGGAAATTTATTATTTTGACAGTATAATGTACTTGAGAAGGTAATCTCGGTACAAAGGCCACAATATAATCATAATAATATCGTTTATTTATCAATTTATATAATTTCAGATTGATCAACAAATACCTGCCTGATGAATTAAAACTGGATATGACCAAAAAAACATTTCAGAAGTCAAATAACCCGAATTTTGAAATCAATCGTGAAAGAGAACGACTGGACAGTTTTTTGATTAAATGTGTACAGCTGGGCGTCCCTAGAGTTGCTTTGTTCCAAATCGATAATTTGTACGAGTTAACAAACTTAAGTCAAGTGTGTGCCGGTCTTGCAGCCTTAGGAAGTGAGGTTAGTATATGAATTAGTCTTCTTCTTCCCAGCTTCTTCCGGTAGCCACAGTGGCTCAGTGAGTAAGGCACTGACTCAGTCAATAGGTGATCGGGGGTTCGATTGACTGAGAAAGTTTTCCAGAATTTTCTATGTAATGTAAAATTGTCCCCATGGACGGAAGACCCGGCAAGGAACACCCCCCCCCCCCCGTCCTGCTTCAATGTTATGGGAAACCATTCCGGAAACAGTTATCGAACCCTGGACGTATGCCCGCCTTCATTATCCCGTTCGGTGAAGAAATGTGAGGCGTTAAACTCCATTTCACCCATTCATTCTCGCAGTCTCGCCAACAATCACGTGTCCTAACCTTATTTACATCTCAGTGACTTTGTCGAAAATTGAGCTGGCCTTTGATCTATATTGCTGTCAACATCTGTGTATATTTAGTCCCGAGATGCTCTCACTGTCCAATTACACTATTATCGACACCATATTCACACCGCGTATGATAACGAGATTCTGCATTATCAACACATATCATTTCTTCCTTTCATTGTGAATTTTCCGGTAGTTCTAATTTTTACGGGAGACACGGTGGCTAAGTGAGTAAGACACTGGCTCGCTATCCGGGGGCTCGCGGGTTCGCTCCCGGTGTTCACCGAGGAAATTAAAGTTCATCAGGATTCGCCGGCGTGGTTTCCCCTTGTCAATAGTGCATGACGAAATCCGAGGTCCCGTGTGCACATTGGCGTGCACGTGAAAGATCCCTTGGAATTCTTTATAAGAGTAGACCTTAGTGCCGCTGTCTGGGCAAAATTTTCCTCATAGAACGTTAAACCCCATTTCATTTCTAATTTTCACAACGGAATAAAAGATAAGCGGTCAATAAACGAATTCCGATCATCAAGTCGCATTATCCCCAATCTGATTACAACACAGATCCTATTTCGTTTCTTTTTGTATAGTTCAAAATTTCGTTTTACTTGTCTTTACTACACTGAAATCAGGAAGAGTTGTTATATTACCGGCGTTCTAGTTAGCCAATGAAACGGTTCGTTACGACACGTTCTTGGCGTGTGATGGCGTCATAGGGTCCAAAGCCGCTCGTACACCCGGTTAGATCTTCATGTAGTGTTGGCCATCTAAAGTATTAAAAAAAGGAAATGAAATATAGATCTGTGTTTTAATCAGATTGTCATTATCCGTATTGTTTGGCGTTCGCAGATGCACTTTTTGGAAAATCGAAGACACCATAACAATATTCTATTATCGTGTCCGCATGTTTTTATTCGCCCACATTTTCATGTGGACGTATATTGTCGTCGCCCCTGTCCGCCCGTCCGTCCACAATTGTTTGTGAACAGTCTACAGGTCACAATTTTAAACCAATTTCAACGAAACTTGAAGTATAGGTTTATCACCCTAAGATCTCGGTTCCTTTCGATATTGGCATGTATCGGACTGTAACTTCGTGGATTATGGCCCCTGATTGTACGAAAATTTTTATCCGATTTTGTTGAAACTTGAAATGTATGCTTATAACCCAAAGATCTCGGTTCCTTTCGATATTCGTGCATATCGGAACGTAACTTCCTGAATTATGGCCCCTGATTGTTCTAAAAATGGCTATAGAGGTCATAATATTTATCCGATTTAAAAAAAAACGTGTTATTATTTCACCGTTACACCCTAAGGACGGCTGAGTTCGAATTTCGTGAAAATCAGCCCAAAATTGACAGACAAAATGGCCGCCCTTCGTTCTCAAATAGCGTAAAAATATGGTATATCAAGGGTGTGGACCCTATAGAGGTCACAATTTTAATCCAATTTTGATGAAACTTGAAATGTAAGTTTATAACCCAAAGATCGCGGTTCCTTTCGATATTCGCGCATATCGGAAAGTAACTTCCTGAATTATGGCCCCTGATTGTACGAAAAATCGCGTTTTTAGCTTGTGGACCCTATAGAGGTCATAAGTTTTATCTGATTTCAAAAAACGTTTTATTATATCACCGTTTCACCCTAAGGACGGCTGAGTTCGAATTTCATGAAAACCGGCCCAAAACTGACAGACAAAATGGCCGCCCTTCGTTCTCAAATAGCGTAAAAATATGGTATATCAAGGTTGTGGACCCTATAGAGGTCACAATTTTAATCCAATTTTGATGAAACTTGAAATGTAAGTTTATAACCCAAAGATCTCGGTTCCTTTCGATATTTGCGCATATCGAATTGTAATTTTTTGAATTATGGCCCTTGATTGTAGGAAAAATCACTTTCTTTTTAGCTTGTTCTCTATCCATCTCTCGAAAATGTGGGCGTATCCTGCCTGGCAGCCGCTGGGTTTTTTTTATAAATCTAAATATCTTATTGTATTTTTACAGATTGAAAGCCTCCCAAGTTTTACTGGTGAGCGACGATGGCCTAAAAAGTATGTGGACCCGAAGGCTGAAGAAAAACGAAAGGCGGCTAAGCAAAATAACAAGCTCAGCTGTACATACTCTGGAATACTCTACGGTGCTCCAGACAGCCATTATTGATTACCATGACAACGTTATCACGTGTGGCACAGTGAGCCAATGAAAAGCGCTGACACATCATTAACCGGAAGTTAATTTTGAAAAGCTCTGCCTTTTGTTTCTAGTAGAAGTTTATTTTTCATATGATCTCATATGATTCTATATTTCTGCTTGCTGGATTTCAGACACTTAAATACGAAAACGTATTATGATTTTATTTATTATTTTTGCATTCAGTGATAATCATGGACTTCATCTGCTCAAAAACAATAGTACGAGAAGACTGTAATGTCCTGCTAACAAATTCCAATTTAGATAGAAACTTAAGATATTTATGAAATTTTGTGTTTAATTTATTTGATATAATTGTTTAATCTATTTTTAACTCCAGAAATACCATAATTTAATTAATTATCCCCCTCTTTCTCCAATGGATTATTTAATTTGTTGTAAATATGGGTGCAGATATTGTTACTTAAAAGTTTATAGATTTTTAGACATTCGTCTAGTTTAGCTGGCATGACACGATCGACACGCCCTCTTGTTAAAGGGAGATAATTGTAGCCTGACAGAGTTCATGGAAGGTGGCATTTTAGTAAGAGATTCCCCTAAAGGTCTCCACAAATAATGACTAGATCTGGATAAAAATTGAAACGTAAAATTACTCAAGACCCAACCTGTAAAACAGTAGAACACGCATGTGTAGATTTAAATGTGTTCATGTAGCGAAGGCAGTGACGACCCTGTCGTGCCGGCATGGAATTAGTATACTGTATTTACTCTTTTAGTTTTAGTCTTTTTTTTTTTTTTTACCTGTTTTTAAATTCAATTCAAACTGCTGAAAATGACCGAACTGTAAAAAATATGTTTAAAAATAAACCGTTTCATTTTAGTCAAAGTTTTTAATTAATGAGACAGTTCAAGGCATTAATACATAAGGTCTGTCATTGAGCCAAATGTTGTTTCGATTCTCCGCTTGTACGTGAAGACGGGCATATGCCATACAGTGTGCTATGAGGGAAATTTTGCCCTGACAGTGGCACTATGGACTACTCTTATATAGAATTCCAACCGCTAAGGAATCTTTTACGTGCGCACCTATGTGTACACGGGACCTCAGTTTTTTGTCCCATCCGAACGACTAGACAGCTGTCCTTGCCAGGCCCATCCGAACGAATACACGTTGTCCCTTACCAGGCCCTATGCCCTGCACCACTGACAAGGGGGAACCAAACCGGAAAATCGCGATGAACTTTCTAGGATCGCCAGGTTAGCGAGCCACCGTTCGTCCACTAATGATAAAGTTATTGACAAGGTACACTACTATCTTGGCGCCAATCTATGGTATTTCAATGGAGAATTGTATGGTGGCGGAATGTATGGTATTCTAATATTGGAAATGGATGGTGAATTTCAAACTGACCTGAAGGGCTCAAATTTTAAAGAATCTCTACTGTAAACAAGATTCAGAAAACGGCATCCGCAGCCGCCGAAACTTGCATACGGGATTCACGATGGCTTGGTGAGTAAGACGATGACTAACTAATCAGGTCACGTGTTCGATCCCGATGTGGTTTTTCACTGGTGTGGGGCGAAGGAATTATAAATAAAATATAAAACGTAGCGCCGTTGTCTGGGCACAATTACCTCTAGAACTTCTTCATTTGTCCGGTTAATGCAGAAAGCCCATTTTCATTTCACATTTCGTACATGGAAACAGATCACCATTAATTAACCTTATTGGTTAGCCACGAATGTAGTTCCTTCCATCTATATCCCCCGTCCCCATCTCTCTCTCTCCCTTTTGTCATGGCGATTTCTGTTGACACTTGAGAGGAAGATGGTTACTAGTATGCCATTTCTACTTTGGGTATCTCTGAATTTCTATGGTGAACCGGACACGTACTTTTGAGCCAGGTGTTGCCATGTTCAGCTCAACCACCACCGTTGGTCAAACAGACGAGAATAACAATTAAAGTCAGTATATTCCAATGGAAATGAAATGAAATGGAGTTGAACGTCCTACTGTTCTGCTCTAAACCTGGGCTAATGAAGACGGGCATACGCCATACAGTGTGCTATGAGGGAAATTTTGCCCGGAGAGCGGCACTACGCCCTTTTTATATATCGAATTCCAACTGTCAAGGGATCTTTTACGTGCACGCCAATGTGTACGCGGGACCTCGGTTTTTCGTCCCATCCGAACGACTAGACAGCTTTCCATGTCAGTCCCTCCGTCCTGCATCACTGACAAGGGAGAACCACGCCGGAAAATCTGGATGAACTTTCTCGGCCAATGCCGGGATCGAACACCCGACCTCCAGGCTAGGCAGCTAGCGTCTTACCCACTTAGCCACGTGATCCCCCATATTCCAATGGAGAATGGTATGGTGTTCTAATGGGGACATGTGGTATTCTAATGGAGAATGCTATGGTATTCCAATGGGGACATGTGGTATTCTAATGGAGAATGGTATGGTATTCCAATGGGGACATGTGGTATTCTAATGGAGAAGGGTATGGTGTTCTAATGGGGATATGTACGGTATTCTAATGGAGAAATGGACGATATTCTAATGGGAAAATAAATGGTATTTTAAATGGCAAATCTATGGTGTTCTAATAGGGAAAACTATGGTGTTCTAATGGATAAATCTATGGTGTTCTAATGCATAAATCTATGGTGTTCAAATAGGGAAACCTATGGTGTTCTGTATTGGCCTGTGTCTCTAGCTGTGTTTTCAATTACAGCCCCTAATCATGTAGGGTTCCTCTCAAAAACGGAGTGTGTCTTTAATATATCAGAATCAGATCCAAGTTTCTTGTTTGTAAAAATATTTATTGCAAGCATGTATGAAATAAATATACACATGTGGTTATATTACATAATTAATGTCTGTGAAGATAAATATTTTACTGCTTATAATGCCAACATATTTTAAACATTAAAGCCCCCACATGCCAGAATATAGAGTTTATATACAAATTTTAACAGCTCAATGAGAAACAAAAAGTAAATGCTATATGAAATATTTACTAATAAAATAAAATACTACACATAACGCCAACAATATTAAACATTAAATGCTTCACATGTCAGAATATAGAGTAAATGTTGTTATTTGAAATATTTTCAAATATTACACACACAATGCCAACAATTTTAAACATTAAAGGCCCCATATGCCAGAGTATAGAGTTCAAATGCAGATTTTAAGAGCATGAGTAATAATGCTGGTATTTGAAATACCTTAGAATATAACACATAAAACCAACAATTTTAAACATTAAATCTCCCAAGTACCAGAATATAGAGTTCAAATACAAATTTAAAGAGATTGAGTAAATGCTGGTATTTGAAAAATGGTACTCTAAAATACGACACACGACACCAACATATTTGAAACATTAAAGCCCCACATTCCAGAATATAGAGTTTACATACAGATTTTAACAGCTTGAATAAATACTTGTATTTGTAATTATTTAAATATTACACACATAAAGTCAACAAGTCCTAACATTCCAGAATATAGAGTTCAAATACAAATTTAAAGAGCATGATAGAATATAGAGTTTACATACAGATTTTAACAGCTTGAATAAATACTTGTATTTGTAATTATTTAAATATTACACACATAAAGTCAACAAGTCCTAACATTCCAGAATATAGAGTTCAAATACAAATTTAAAGAGCATGATAAAATATTTTAAAATATTACACACAATGCAATCAATTCTATATATTAAATCCCCAATATTCCAAAGTAAACTTCAAATACAGATTTTAAGATCTTGGTGAGAAATATACAAGTAAAGTCATGCAAACATGAAGATCCAACATGCCAAAATATTATCACATATTATTAATTGTAAAGATATCAAAATAAACACATTTTATCACATTTTGATAGGGGAGCTGAGATGGATCAGTGAGTAGGATGCTGGCTCTCTAACTAGAAATAAAATGAGGTTTAATGTCCTACTCCAAGATGAGAATAAGCCATACAGTGTCCTATCCAGGAGAATAAACGCATTTAATCACAAACTTATTTTAAATTTATCAGAATAAAGATATTTTATCACATATTGATTCAAAATTGATCAGAATATAAGCTTGTTATAATCATTTTAATATCACATATTGATTATCACATTATCAGAATAAACACATCTAGCATATTGATTATCAGAATAAACACATCAAGCATATTGATTATAAAGTTATTTGAATATCTGTAGGCCTACATGCCGACAGTGTATCTTTTAAGCTATTATACATTTTCATGACATTGATTTCAAAATTAATGAGAATAAACATGCATTATACAATGTAACATGACATATTGATATCATTTTATCACATATTTATTTCAGCTTTATTGTTGTAGTTTTATCCATATATGTTGCTTCAAATTTTGTCACAAAAGCCTATACTGAACTCACCCAAACATTCGATGGCTTAGATATTGAATTGATTAGTCAACACCCGCCATGTTTCTCTTAAACACTAACATGGTCGAGGGTGTATACAATCAATAGGTTGGTCTTGGTTATCACCAGACCTTTACTCACCACAGAATTTCATCTCGACATACACAAAGTGATACGTCAACATCTCAGTCCTTAAAACACTGGCATACATAGAGTAATAGGTCGATATCATTTAAATGATGACCTTTACAAAGTAATAGGTCAATATAATTTTAAACACCTACCATTACAGTGTAATAGGTCAACACCTCAACCATTTAAATACTGACCGTTACGGTGGACTTTACCAACTATTGGACAATATCTAAGCAACGGGTTGGTAAATGTGACAAAAATTTTGCATAGAATTTATTTTGAAGATTCTCGATGTAGCTAACAGTAATCAAATGAAACTCTGTATAAAGTAATTTGATGATCCATCAGTAGCAATATTTATTATTATCAGGAAAAGCATCTGACTGACTAATAAAACAGTTATAATAAATAGTTTTATATTGCACACAAATACACAAAAATAGGAACTGCTGTACATTATTAACACACTTGGCAAACCTCAGCAGATTTTAGTACCCTACATCTAGCCTCGGCTGTATGATGAAGTCCGCCATCCGCCTTTGAAGAATGTTTTATCATACAAATATTTCAAAGACTGCAGCTGTTTTTCCAATTTTCTTCAAACAAGGACAACTTTGCACTAAAAATTCTACACACGCTTCGAACAACACTATTTTGATAATTTCTTTTTAAAAGCGGCAAGTTTCCCTGATAAGTAAACCGGTGCTGCATCGCAATTATATAGGCATAGGTACGTGTACATATCACTTACGGTCATACAGCCGAGGTTAGATGTAGAGTGACGGAACTTGTGGATTGATTATTAATAGTAAGGCCAAATTACCTCCCTTCATCTCTCAGCTGACAATCCTCCCAATAATATACACAACCCTACCAGATTTCAGTCAATACACACAAGAAGGGAGAGAGCAAAAATGAGCTTCAAAAATGAATTTTTATCCAATAATTATGATCTGAGCATATTCCTGTACAATGATAAAAATATAAGCATTTTTAACATGACTAATAACTATTTGTATAATAGAAAATAAATTTCAATATAATGAGTATGTTCTACAATACATGTACATGTAATGAGCAGTTTCTATAATACCCATGTTCTAGAAAACAACAAAATGTATGATTAAATCTCTCTCAAGAAATTAATATTTGATTTTTCTGTTTGCCACTGCGGAAAACTGTGTTGACGGTTGTACGTTTTGAGGGGATCCCTATGTATCACATGTTTGCCACTGCGGAAAACTGTGCTGATGGTTGTATGTTTAGAGGGTGTCCCTATATATCACGTGTTTTTATGCTGATATGAATTGTCAGTTTTATTATAATTTCTTCACTTATTTACCCTAGCTGTTGCATGTGTAGAGTCTTGAACCAGAAGTCTATGTCACTCCTTGGACTAAAGCCTCAGAAATACCCTAAATTGCAGCTGGTGAGAGTTGTCAGCCCCAGAGAGAGAGATTACAAAGGTATGTTCACGACTAGGGATACAACTATAACAAATTAGTTTTAGAAACACGCGATCGTAATGTTCTGGTTCCAGTTTTTTTTTCCACCGTGACTTTATGTTGTTGTTGAAGTTTGATTAGTTTTACTTCTAATCGTGATATTTTTAAATGTGTTTTTGGAGAGAGTTCTGTTTGGTTTAATTGTTCTATTTGTTGTTCTATCTCTTCTATTTGTTCAGGTAAAGATGGCTTCTTACTACCCTTACTATCACTCACGTTATCTTTGTCACCATTCACAGATTCACAGTCAACCATCTGTAAAAAAAAAAGATGAGATGAAATTAGGTTTAAAGTAGCAAAGTCTTTAACTCAATATCATCCAAAGTCTTCGACATTGAAAACATGAATTATTTGTCAGTTTAAATCAACATTGATGATGTGATCTTACCGGGAAAAGATGGGTTTCTGATATCCAATATTTTAGACAAAATAAACATTTTACCATTGGTACACGAATCGTGTACCATAATGCTAGACATATTCCACAAGTCGTGCCAAACAACAAAGCCATATTATTATCTGGAGAGCATGCGCAATTAATACCATCGGTGCACACTGGAATAACCAGACCAAGATGCCAAAGATGCCATTCGATTGAGATTTCCGGCATATTTCGCTGAACATAAATGATTAGACATTACAGAACGGCTGAATGTAAATGAGTTTATATACATTTATATTACATTATTATGTGCGTTGCAACACATTAGTGTTAATTTCTAAGTCCCAAATATTAGCGATTTTGCTCCTTTAATGTCCAACTATACTGCACCACTGTGATTAATGAAGATAAGCATACAGCATGAAATGAGGGACATTTTGCCTCGCAGTAGACTGTCTATTTTTATTTTATTGAACTTTAACTGTGAAGGGTTCATTTACATGCACATTAACTTGTACCATTGAAACCACAGCAGAACTTTCATGGCGGGGCGTGACAATATGCGAATGAGAATGGGAGATGAAAATTGGGAATCAGAATTTGAAATTGGAAGATGTGAGAGATGATGAGTATTGGGAATGAGAGATGATGAGTATTGGGAATGAGAGATGATGAGTATTGGGAATGAGAGATGATGAGTATATAGGATATAATCATTAGTTACAGACCTGTTCCTCTGTCAACTCAGGGCCATCAACTTGTTTCTTCTTTCTTCCTCTAAAATAAAATAAAATTTAAAAATTTAAACTATTGTGAAATTATATAACCTTACATTGATAATAATAGTTATCTTTATAACTAATTAATTAAAAATAAGTCATTAACAATTATTTTATTTAGGACTAATTAATTTAACAATAATTATATATAGGACTAATTAATTAACAATAATTATATTTATGACTAATTAATTAACAATAATTATATTTAGGACTAATTAATTAACAATGATTATATTTAGGACTAATTAATTAACAATAATTATATTTAGGACTAATTAGTTAACAATAATTATATTTAGGACTAATTAATTAACAAACATTATATTTAGGACTAATTAATTAACAATAATTATATTTAGGACTAATTAATTAAAAATAAGTCATTAACAATAATTGTATTTAGGACTAATTAATTAACAATAATTATATTTAGGACTAATTAATTAACAATAATTATATTAAAAATAAGTGATGATTAATCATAATTTCATGCAGGAAATATTGCAAAGAGAGCAGCGGCAGTGCTACAACCTACTTTATTTCAAATTCCAACTATCAAGGGTTCTTCTACGTGTAAACACGATCATTGTCAGGACCTTTGTCCTGTACCTCTGACAAGTGGAAATCCTAAAGATTTTTCTCAGCCAACACTGGGAGTGTCAGCTTCTTACTCACTAAGCCATCATGGCTCCCTGCACCAAAAACCATCTAAAGCCAATCTGATTAATACACAGATCCTATTTTGTTCCGTTTTTTTATAGTTCAAAATTTAGTTTTACTTGTCTTTACTACACTTGGATCTGGAAGAGTTGTAATAATTGACATGTTCTGGATGATGTGAGGGTTTAGCCAATGAAACGATCTGTTACAGCGAGCTTTTGGCGTGTGGTGCAGGGAACTGTGGGTAATCCACTAGAAACATCAATGCTGATCAGTTGATCAATTATCTGACCTCATACAGTCAAAAGCCGCTCATATGATCTCTGACGCGACCTATCACTACAACCAGTCAGATCTTCATGTAGTGTAGACCAATGAAAGTATAAAAAAAACGAAACGAAATATAGATCTGTATTTTACTCAGATTGATCTAAAGCCTAAACAATTCTACAATTTATGTAAATACGATATGAATTTATTTGTTTGATTTGTAACGTGGCCTCATGGCCGTCCTGGGTTATCACCTTACCTTTTGTTTGGCTTAATGTCCTCTTTATCTGGGGTTGTCTCAGCTGAACCTGATTCACCAGAGATTTCTGTTTTATCAGCTTTTTTAGTTCGGGGTTTTCGTGTTGTTTTTTTAACCGGTGATGCTATCTGCAATTTATCCATGCCGTCTACTGCCTCTTGTACATCTCTGGCCTGTAAAGAAAATAGCTGTATTGAATTTTTTATAGTCGCTTATTATTGGCATTGAGTGTTGGTCGAGAATGTTCATTGGCGATTTTCCAGCGTGGTTCCCCCTTGTCCGTGGTGTAGGACTGAGGACCTAGCAAGGGAGAGAGAGAGAGAGAGAAATGGGGTTTAACGTCCACGCGACACAGACTAGGTCATTTCGGGACTAACATATGGTTTAATTTTATTTCAATAATTCGCTTGCGCGTAGGTGTCTTTAGAAGTGGGAGGAAACGGGAGGACCCGGAGGAAACTGGAGGACCCAGAGAAAACCCACGAGGTTGGACAGGCGACCCTACTCCTTGTCACGTACAACCGGGGATTCGAAACCACGGCAGTTGACTCAATGACAGACTTTATGATACAGTGCGCGCACGCTAACCATTCAGCCATCCACCCCCCCACCTAGCAAGGGACAGTGTATAGTTGTTTGGATGGGACAAAACAAGAGGTCCTGTCTACACATAAATGAACCCTTGACAGTTGGAATTCAAAATAAGTGTAGGCCATAGCGCCACTTTGTGGGCAAAATTGCTCTCACAGCACACTGCATGGCGTCTTCAATAGACCAGTGCTCTCACAGCACACTGCATGGCGTCTTCAATAGACCAGTGCTCTCACAGCACACTGCATGGCGTCTTCAATAGACCAGTCGGAGCAGAACAGTAGGACTTTAAACCCCATTTAATTTCATTTTATTGTCATAGAACGATTGATATAACTTGAAACAAGTTTGACTATGATTCAGCAATGAATGAAATGGGTTTTTTAATGTCATATTTTTTTTGCACCAAGCATCCTAATGAAGATGAAAATAAGCCATTCAGTGTGCTAATCATGATAAAGATAGGTTGCCAGGCAACATAACATACGCCCACAGCAGTCGACACGGGTTGTCACATATTTATTTTTTTGTAGGTAAATGGGGTAATTTACAAGATAATTTCAAACAGATCAGATTATAATTTTTGTCATTTGAGGGTTCACAAGGTTCTATAAACTGAAACAAGGGCCTTAACTCAGAAAGTGATTTACAGAAATTGTTGAAATTCTACGGGTTTTTTGTTTTACTAATTGAAATAATGTATATAAATTTGATACAGATCAGATGAGAACTTTTGTCATTCGAACGTTCACAATAACTTGGGTCGATACAGTGTTTACAAGGTTCAACAAAGTAAAACAAGAGCCATAACTCTAGAAGTAATTGACGGAAACAGCTGAAATTCAATAGGCTTCTTCAATTCACTAATTTAAACATACATTATGCAAGAGCTAAATCTGCCTATCGCAGGTCTTTCTTTAGACCTAAAATGTTGTTTAAATTTTTAGACATTCATTAACATGACAAGACCATAATCAACTCAAGATGCCATCGGATATCTCCGATATTATGTAGATTAGAACGGTTTGGCCATAGTTTGATTTAATTTTAAAATGGAGGAGCGAGGCTTAGCTTCGAATAAACCAGTACAGTGGTTACAATCAGTGCACACATCTTGTCAAACCTTCAAAGGCTAATATCTTCGCTAGCAATAGAGTAATTTAAATGAAATTTTCAAATTATTCATTTTGCATTATCTATTTTCGAACTTTTATAGCAAGAATGACCAGCTCTTTATCTAAATCTTACATAATGTATCTTAAAATGATTGATATAGATTTCATACATATCAAATGATAACTTTTGTCATTCGGTCTAGGGAAACCATACTGAAAACCCTGAGGCCAACAACATGAGAAAAACTGGGACCTCCCTCCTCCAATGCCTTTTTAATTACTGAGATGGCTGATACAGTTTGACACAGATATTAAACGGGCATTAGGTAAGATTAGATAAAGAGCTGACAGTTCTCACTATAATAGTTAAAATATAGATAATAAAAACAGAATATGCTGAAAATTTCAGTCAAATTGCTTCACTCTGAACCAAGATATTAGTGATTCAATTTTAGGCTAGCCTTGATTGTCAGTACTAATGTTGGTAAGATAAGTTAATTAATGTCTAATAAATAATTTAGATAACATTTCAGGCTTAAAGAAAGATCTGCCATAGGCAAATTTCACTATAACCTGGATATTATTTAATCTTGTGTATCCAGCACTAATTTCTTTCAAATTTGTTTAAACATGCATTATGCAAGAGCAAAATCTGCTTATTACAAGTCTTTCTTTAGGCCTGAAATGTTATCTAAATTATCAATTAGACATTAATTAACTTATCCAGACCATAATAAACTCTCGATGTCAAGGCTAGCCTTTGATGTTGGCTGGATTAGATTCCTATATGCCGCTTAACGGCCATTGATAATTAAATCAAAACAGTGGATAATCGAGACTATACTGTTTATATTAATGATTTTAGTAATGATGACCGAGACTATGCAAAAATTTCACCCGCTTCGTTCTCGGCTCATAGTGGATCAATTTGACTGAAATTTTCAGCAAATTACCTTTACACTATCTAGTTTTTAACTATTATAGCGACAACTGCCATCTCATTATCTTATCTCCCATAATGTATCTTTAATATCAAAAATATTTAAAAATTACATCCACTCAATCGGGGACTAACATAAGGTTCAATTTTATTTCAATAAATTGCTTGCACGTAGGGTCTTTAGCAGTGGGAGGAACCGGTGGATCGAGAGAAAACCCTTGAGGTTGGACCCTACTCCTTGTCACGTACAAGCTGGGAATCGAAACCACACCAGTTGACTCAATGACAGACCTTATGATCTTAAGCACCAGTGTTATACCATTTTAATCAGATAGGTTATTATTGACAATATTTACATACCTTTTTAGGTTGTTGATCTTTCGTAGTGGTACTAGAACTTGATACAGAGCCTGTCAAATAAAATAAAATGAAATGAAATGGGGTCAAACTATTCTGATCAGACTGGGCTAATGAAGACAGGTATATGCCATACAGTGTGCTATGAGGGAAATTTTGCCCAGACAGCAGCGCTACGGCTTACTCTTATATCTGATTCCATCTACCAGGGGAAGGACAAAATTTTGAAGTGTAAACCCTGGTTTGATTAAGTACACGGAACATATTACTCTAAAGGATGGACTTCAGGTGTACTGGTACATACCTGTACATACAGGTGTACAGGTACTTACCTCTACATACAGGTATAAATGATAATCTTTTAGCTTTTTTATCAGTTTTACTTTTTATAGTTGGTTCATCTTCATTAAAACTTTCTGGATTTCTGAAAAGATTCAATTAAAACATGATGGCAAGCTGATTCAACTCTGGCTGCTGATTGTTTAATTAGTCATGGGTTAAAGGAGGTAAATCCCTATTCTTTGACTACTAGAAATTGACACAAATGGGTCGCAACAGCGGCAACACATATAATAATGCAATATGAATATATATAAACTGATTTACATTCAATCGTTTCTATTTTTACTGTAATTTCTAATCAGTTAGAGTGTATGTGAGACGAAATTCGCCAGAAGTCTCAATCGATAGTATTTATTGCGCATTCTCTCCAGATAAGAATATAAGGTCACCATTTGACATGACTTGTGGAATATGTCTAGCCTCGTTCTTCGAGTCCCTTGTTACAAATGGCGCTCAAAAGCATTATGACACCCGATTCGTGTACCAATGGTAAAATGTTTATTTTGTCTTAAATATTGGATATCAAAAGCCCATCTTTTTCCAGTAAGATCACAACATGAATGTTGATTTAAATTGACAAATAATTCATGTTTTCAATGTTGAAGACTTCGAATGATATTGAGTTAGAGACTTGACTACTTTAATTAAATACAAATTTACTTAAATTGATAAATCATCAAAATACCAACAGTAGAACATCTCACAACTTGGAGTCAATTGAATTAAAATATTTTATAGATGAGTTTGTCTTTGACTATTATTAACATCTCCAGAATGTTGATAAATTTAAATTGATCATATATTTATGAAAGATGTATTATGCAAGAGCTAAATATGCCTATATTGCAGGTCTTTCTTTAGGCCTTAAATGTTATATAAATTATTAATAAGACATTAATTAACATGACAAGCCCATTATCAACTCTCGATGCCATCTGATGGCTCTGATTTTAAGAAGACTAGAACGGTACTTGCCAATTAATAATTAATATAAAAATGGATAATCAAGACTTTATTTTAACAATGGTAGAAATGACAATCAAGGCTACACTGTACTTCTAAAGGCGATAACTCGGCTCAGAGTGAACTAATTTTACTGAAATTTTTTACGCATTCCCTTTTGATCATCTATTTTTTAACTACATGTATTATAGCGAGAACAGTCAGTTCTTAATCTGATCTTACATAATACCCCTTTAACAATGAATAAAATTGAACCACTCTTGGATAGATATTCTCCTTATATTCAAACTTTCACAAAATTACAGTTGGCAATAAAAATTCTTCAAATGATGATCCAAGACTGTAAGATGAAACAGAATATCTATGAAGTAAAATAATGATTTTAACCAGAGGTAAAGATAGGTTGCCAGGCAACGAAACATACGCCCACAGCAGCTAAATCGTCCGAGCAGTCAACAAGAGTTGTCGCATATTTTTACTTTCTTCGGTAATGATACATTTATAATACACTAAAATCTGATTAAGAGCAACAACTCAGAAAACCATTAGAATTTGTTTGGTAATATCATGGATTTAGCTGTTCCAAGTCATAAAAATTCATTGAAAATCAATATACTTGTTCGTCTCAAGATCTTAAACTCTGTGTATCAATTTGAAGTCAATCGGACGATAACTTTAGCCTTTAGAGCGTCACAAGATTTTGCAAAGTGATCAAGGGCCATAACTTTGGTAGTAATTATCTGAAATCGTTGAAAATCAATAGGATTCTTCTTCTCATGACCTTAAACACTGTGTATAAATATAAGGTCAATCGGATGTTAACTTTGGCCTCTAGAGCTTCCACAAGATTTTTTGAATCAAGGACCATAACTCTGGCAGTAATTATAGGAAATCGTTGAAAATCAATAGGCTTCTTCGTCTCATGATCTTAAACACTGTGTATAAATTTAAAGTCAATCGGATATTAACTTTGGCCTCTAGAGCGTTCACAAGATTTTTCAAAGTGATCAAGGGCCATAACTCTTGCAGTAATTATCGGAAATCGCTGAAAATCAAAAGGCTTCTTCGTCTCATGACCTTAAACACTGTGTATAAATTTAAAGTCAATCGGATATTAACTTTGGCCTTAAGAGCGTCCACAAGTTTTTCAAAGTGATCAAGGGCCATAACTCTGGCATTAATTATCGTAAATCGCTGAAAATCAATAAGCTTCTTCGTCTCATGACCTTAAACACTGTGTATAAATTTAAAGTCACTCGGATATTAACTTTAGCCTCTAGAGCGTCCACAAGCAATTGTGGACGCTGGACGGACGGACCGACGGACGGACGGACGGGGGCGATGGCAATATACGTCCACATTTCAATGTGGGCGTATAAAAAAACATTCTGCACACAGAGATTTATCTACTTCATATTTCATACTAAATAACCATCATATCCAAAAATTAGTATATTTCACATCTGGCATACATACAAAGACTAAATAAACCTATTCAATTCCATTAAATGGAAGCAGAATAAATACTGCTCAAAATTCTCGAAGTAGGCACTTATTATTTTCAACTAGCTTCGTGTCTGTTCTCAAGTGGAGCTAACTGTATAGTCTAGTATGGTAAAAGTTAATAAATTATGCAAGTCTTGTCTCTCACCTGTATTCTACCTGATCTGGAATACTCTTCGAAATTACAGGATGATCTTTTTTATTGTCTACCTCCATTGAAACCATTTCTTTGGTCTCCACAGAAACTGACGTTAAACAAGATTCAGACAATTCCAAGTTTCGTAAATTCTCATTATTTGATTCAATTTGATCAGGAACATCTTTGGTAATTTTCAATTCCTTCTTCTGACGTTTCCTGGGTTTGGGATTACCAACTTTACATTCTTCTGAAGTAATAACAACAGCGGTTGTAGATATTGTTGGTGACGCGATACTGGTATTTCTTATGCCTTTTTTAGCTGGTACTCTTTTACGTCTAGCATTGTTTTCCTCATTAACTCCTGTTGCAGCTTTCTCAATACTTTTTACGTTGTCTTTCTTTGTGACACTTGGCTTTCTGGTCTTGGGAGGAGCTGCCTCTTTAACATTTGACAACATTCTAGTGTTGCTAGCACTAGCAGATCCTTTTCTCAAACTGATGGTCCCCTTTTGTTGTAAAGCTTCTGTATCAGTTGTGGATGACATCTTGAGAGACCCTGGACTAGATTTTTCACCAAAAGCACTGATGGTCTTCCCAGCAAATTTACCTTGTTTTACTCCTCTTACTTTTATAGTTTTAGATGCTGCTGGAACTTTATTTGCTTCTTCATTAAATATTGCTGATGTGCTTGAAGTTCGTGCTAAGCTTGTTCTAGAATTTTTTAAAGTAGGATTTAGAGAAACTGGTTTAATGGTGGGAATACCAACAGATTTTCTGACAGCTTCAAGTTTTGATGTAGCTTTTGGTCCGCTAGCTTTTTGAGCCTTTTCTGTATTGATTTTGGGATCTTCTGTATGTTCTGGTTTCGATTTCTCAATTACCGTTTCAGAGTTTTCAGGAACATCTTTTCGAATGATTTTGGAAGCAGTTCTGATGCCAAAACTCATCGGAATACCTGAGCGTCTTCTCATTGTTTTACTAGTAGTATCTGACGAATTCTTAATTTTATTTTCTTCATCACTTTTGGATCCTGAAGGTTTATCAATGGAAGAATCATTAGAATTGCTGTGTACATTCGTTGAAAGATCGACTTTGCCAGAAACCTGATCTTGTGTAACAGTTTTATTATATTCCAATTCAGCAGTATTCTTTATAGACATTTCTTTATCTTTAACAGCTTCATCTGAATGACCTGACACTTTTTCATTTACTTTCTTCTCACAGATAAAAATCTTTTCCAAATTCTTAGTTAGCTCTTCAGCTGTAATTTTCTTTGATATAGATTCATCTGAGTCCAGGCTACTAGAACTTGGTATTCCTTTACCTCTTACTGGTCTTGTACAAGGTCCTGAAAATATAGCATCTTCCTTTGGGTATTTCTGTATATCTTTAATTTGTTTGTCTTCTACAGTACCTTCTTTGGGAAGATTAGTGGTATCCTCTTCTGGTGAGGATCTCTTGGTATCACTCTTTGTCATACTTTTCGTTGTTTTAGAGGGAGCTCCTGATGCAGGAGAAATGTAGGTAGGTATTCCTTTTCTCTTGGATTCATTACTGATGGTGGTTTTTGCAGGAATAGTTTCTTCATCATAACTACCAATGAATTTCTTTGATCTTGCTGGGAGCCTTCTTGTCCTAGTTGCTGGTAGACTGATTTCATTAGAATCAACTGACTTATCTGTAACCTTTGCCTTGGTCTTTCTACTCTTGGTTTCTTTGGGTATCGTCTCCTTTTCTGAAGACATAATTTCAATAATCTCCATTTTATCAGTGAGATCGGAAACATCTTCAGATGCAGATGTTATTTTCTTGGTTTTCGATGTATCCTCAGTACCATTATTCAGTTTCTGGCTAATGATTTCCACTGTCTTAACAGTTTTACTTTGTGTTTCTGAGATTGTATCTTTGACAAAACCAAAGCTTGCTCTTATTGATAAGAGTTTGGATCTTGGTGCAGGCTTTCGACGTGTTACAACTGGTTTTTCCTTGATGTCTGCTTCAGTTTCATCCATAACGGTTTCTTTCTCATCAAATTTATCTTTGGTGTGTCCTATTGGAGCTGTATTTTCAGCTGTGAAATGGCTATTTATTTCTTCTCTATCTACTGTTTCACGGATAGCTTGCCCATCTTGTACCTTTTCAAATGTTGTTGTAAGTTCCTGTGGTTCAATTCCACCCTTTGTTTCTTCAGCATCTGAAGTCTTTTTATCAGTTTTTGGTATAACTGATTTTTTTATTGGTTCATCAGAAGGGGAGGTAGTTTCTTTGTAACTGGGAATTCTTCTGTTTCTTTGTGGACGCTTTCTTCTAGAATATTCTTCTGATAATTCTTGGACATTTGCCACATCATCATTACTGTCTTCTGGTGATGGTTCTTCAGATGGTGCATCTTCATCAACCACTTTCTTGGTTCTTGCCCTTTTCTGTATTCCATTTTTCTTCAAATTCGGGTCCTCTTCAATTTCTTCGAGTCCTAGCTCTGATGTTTCAGATTGGATATCTTCATCAACAACTTTCTCTTTTCTGGTCTTTTTTTGCTTTCCGTTTTTCTTCAATGATGGTTCCTCTTCAATCTCTTCTAATGCTGATTCTGATTTTTCAGATTGGAGATTTTCATCAACCACTTTCTTTTTTGGGGTCTTTTTCTGCTTCCCCTTTTTCTTCAATGTAGGTTCCTCTTCAATCTCTTCTAATGCTGATTCTGATTTTTCATATTGGAGATCTTCATCAACATCTTTCTTGTTTCTTGTCTTTCTCTGTTTTCCATTTTTATTTAATGATGGTTCCTCTTCAATTTCTTCTAATGCTGATTCTGATTTTTCATATTGGACATCTTCATCAACATCTTTCTTTGTTTTGGTCTTTTTCTGTTTATGATTTTTCTTTGAATTTGGTTCCTTTTTCATTTCTTTTAATTCTGATTCTTCAGATATTTTCTTCAATGATGGTTCTTCTTCAATTTCTTCTAATGTGGATTCTGAATTTTCAGATTGGAGATCTTCGTCAACATCTTTCTTTGTTCTGGTCTTTTTCTGTGTTTGATTATTCTTTGACTTTGGTTCCTCTTCCATTTCCATTAATTCAACAACTTTCTTCCCTCTGGTATTTTTCTGTTTTTCCTTTTTCTTCAATGATGGTTCTTCTTCTACTTCCTCTAATGGGGATTCTGAATTTCCAGATTGAAGATCTTTATCAACATCTTCCTTTCTTCTGGTCTTTTTCTGTTTTTGATTTTTCTTTGACTTTGGTTCCTCTTCAATTTCTGCTAATTCATTTACTAATTCTGATTCTTCAAGTTGGAGGGCATCTTTTTTCGCTCTGTTCTTTTTTTTTCTTCCAGTCTTCTTTAATGTTGGTTCCTCTTCAATTTCCTCTAATGTTGATTCCGGTTGTTCATGCGGGGCATCTTCTTCAACATCTTTCTTTGCTCTGGCCTTTTTCTGTTTTCCATTTTTCTTTAATGGAGGTTCCTCTTCAATTTCCTCTAATTCTGATCCTGACTTTTCATACTGGGCATCTTCATCAACAACTTTCTTTGTTCTGGTCTTTCTCAGCTTTTCAGTCTTCTTTGGTTCCTTTCGAATTTCCTCTGATTCCTTTATTGATTCTGGGGAAATTTCTGGTATTTTCTTCTTCCTCTTCCTGTATGTTCTTTTTTTGGTTATGATATCTGCCTCAATGCTTGTCTCAGAAGAAGAAGACACCTTGTGTAGGACCTGTTTCGGATCTTGACAAGCATTTTGTGGTGCCATATTTGTATATTGATCATTCAGTTGTTGTGCTGGGATAATCTGATCATCACTTGTCTCTGCACACGCACAGACCTCTTGGATAGGTGACGATTCTTCTTTAGGATGGGCAGGAGATTCAGGTATACCAGGAGATGACTTTGTGGCATCATCATTGTCATCCACAGTTTTAGGATGGGCAGGAGATTCAGGTATACCAGGAGATGACTTTGAGGCATCATCGTTGTCATCCACAGTTTTGTTAGGAGTGATGTTCTCAATGACAGTGCTTGCTGTATTTTCAAGTGTGTTATTTGGTGAATCGAGTTCAACCCGAATGTCAGGTACAGGGAGACCATGTTTAGAATTCTCATCATAGGTAGAATTGAGAATGGTTTTGTGGTCCTTTTCATCGCTCATATCCATGTCAAAGGTATCATTTAAAGGCTTTTCTTGTTCGAAAGACTTTTCTATTTCAAATGTGGCATTATTTGGAGCAGTATTCACAACATTGGTTTCAACGTCAAAAGTGGAGTTTGCAGGATTAGATTTTGAACTTGAAACGTCAAATGTTCTATTTATGGATGATGTTGAAGTATCCATGGGTATATCATCCACCGGCAGTTCTTCAGAAGCATCAACATACATTTCATCTGATTCTGAATCTGATTGTTCAATCTCAAAAGTTTCATTTGGAATTTTGTTATGACTGGGTGTTTCTCCCAATAAAATCTTTGCAACTGGAATGTCACTAACAAATACATCAGATGTATTCGGAGACATGATAACCTGAGAAGAGACCTTGATATTATTAGGAGAGGACGATGCTGAATTTTTAGCATATCCACTCAGAGATTTCTTCCTTTCCACTGCTTCCTCAAATAGGCTATCACACAGGTTAAGAGATTGATCACAAAGTTCATCAAGACAGAGAAGTGAGTTATCGCTCTCATGAGCTGAATCTTCAGACATCTGAGGTTTCACGCAAAAGGTTAACTTTCTAGAATTATTGTTTACGTTTTCCGTTTTGTTATTTTTTATCGAAGTTGGCATGTGAGGCTGAGGATGAGAATCTTTAAGGACATCCTTTGCTTCATTGACCACGTATGTCAACTTTCTCTCCTTCATTTTAGCAATTGGTAGACACAAAGCTGACTGAACTTTTGTCCTCAGAATAGATGTCTCCCCTTTCTCAGCTTTTAAATTGGATTGTTCTGGAATTTTTTCTTTTTCACAAACATTTGAAGACGAATTGTTCTTTTTCAGTTTATTTTTTAAAACTACTATTTTGGATTTATTTGACTTCAAAAAAGTTTTTTTCTTAGCTGCTTTTTTCTTTGGATCACTTTTTCTAAGCTGGGCAATAAAAATTGTGTCAGGGTCTTCTGGGGGAATTTCATTGACTGTGCTCAGACTAGGAGCTACTGAATTACCTTCTCCTTCCTGTCTGGGGTATTTACCACTAGGGGGAGTTCTTGTTAGTTGTTTACCTTTTGGAATCATATTTATTGGTGGTTTTAAAGTTTTTATGGCTGGTGAAAGAGGTCTAAGTTTAACTGATTGATTTTCACTATTTTTGTCAGGACTTGAGTCAATATTATTATTCCGTGTTGATGACTCATCTGTATCAGATTCCAGATTAGAGGGTTGTCTTTGCTGCAAATGATCAGAATTTTGAGTTGGTGTCATGGATACATGAGTTGGTGCCATGGATATATGTGTTGGTGCCATGGATACATGTGTTAGTGCCATGGATACATGAGTTGCAATTTGGTCAGCCACATCATCATAGTTATTACTACTCATTTTAACAGGAGCAACTTTTTTTGTTTTCTTTCGGTTTTCATGTTCTTGAGATTTTGTAGTTGGCGAAGTCTTGATATGGTTTGAAGGCATAATATTACTGACATCGTTCACATTATTAGATAATTCAACATGGCCAGTAATATCTGACAAATGTCTCACTGTTTGATCTTGTACTATACATTCTTCAACGGCTACACCACTTGAATTTGAGATCCTTGATTCTGGAACTTTTTCAGGTTCCTGCAAGATGGTCATTGCAGTTGGAACAGACTCTTGTTTCAATGGTGTTCTGGCCAGTTTTGTTCTGGCTTTAAATATGTTGATTTCATCAGTTGGGAGTTCTAAATGAGAATTGTCACCTTTAATCATAGCACTATTAGACGACAGCGATCTTTTACGAGAGTCCCTTTTCTCAACCTTTTTTATCGTGATCTCTTTTTTATGGTCGCTACCATTGACTATGTTTTTGATCAAGATCTCTTTTTTATTGTCGCTACCATTGACCATATTTTTGGAGTAATGTATAACAAGATCGCATGCCGCGCTCGGACGACCAGCACAATGAAGAGGGGTTCTGGGTATTTTTGAGCCAGGTTCTATGACAACATCGCGCACCTCTAGAACATCTTCTGGAACAGAGCCATCAAAGATTTCGTTAGCATTTGACAATCGCACGGGAGATCTCGGCAAGGCTCGACCACTTGGGATTATACCATCAACAACCTTAGAAAAGTCAACGGGTTCAAAATTGTTTTTAGATTGTGGTAACTGAATGGCTGGCGTCTTGATGTTGACATACCACAAATCGCCATCTTTCGCATCCTCAGGTTGTTGGTTCTCGTTATTTACTGATCTGTAAATAGGATTTGGTTTCAAATGATCCTTGCTCCTTGTGGCTTTTGGTGTGGAGAGAGTGGAAAACTTCGGCGGAGTTCTCTGAAGCTCCCGCACTCCCTTCAACGCAGAACCTGGAATAATTGGAGTTCCCTAAAATAAATGAAACAGATATTAAATTACGATTGCACATGTACACTTCAGAAGGTTCCCCTCCTCCCTTGTCAGTGGTATATGATGGAGGGTCTGATACAGTTCCACAAGGATCCCCTTTGTTAATGGTGTACAATAGAGGGCCTGGTTTCATGTATACTTCACAAGGTTCCCCCCTTGTACGAGAATGGGGCAGGTACATGTGCAGTTCTAAGGTTCTCCACTTGTCAGTTGTGTAGGAACCGTGGTCCTGGAAATGAACAGTGTCTAGTCGTTTTGGATTGGGTGAAAGATCAAAGTTCCCATGTACGTTGGCCTTTGTCGGTGGTGTAAGACGGAAGGTCTGGCAAGTTCAGAGCATCTAATTAGTCTGGATTGGATGAACCAGCGGCTGCCAGGCAGGATACGCCCACATTTTTTGAGAGATGGATAGAGAACAAGCTAACAAGAAAGTGATTTTTCCTACAATTTGAGAACGAAAGGCGGCCATTTTGTCTGTCAATTTTGGGCCGATTTTCATGAAATACTAACTGGAAGTTATGGTCCGATATGCGTGAATATTGAAAGGAACCGAGATATTTGGGTTATAAACTTACATTTCAAGTTTGAACAAAATCGGATAAAAATTGTGACCTCTATAGGGTCCACAAGCTAAAAATGTGATTTTTCGTACAAACAGGGGCCATAATACATGAAGTTTCGATCCGATACATGCCAATATTGAAAGCAGCCGGGATCTATTGGAGATAAACCTATATTTCAAGTTTCGTCAAAATCGGATAAGAGGTGTGACCTGTAGAGTGTCCACAAACAATTGTGGACGGGCGGACGGACAGGGGCGACGACAATATACGTACACATAAAAACCAGTGTAGAAAAGTAGGACCATAATCAAACACCCATTTCAATTAACACTTCACAAAAAACTGAGCTGTAATTCTGATCAAGATAGGGGGTTGGATGGTTGAATAGTTAGTGTGTAATAAATCAAGAAGATGCTCAAAACAAGAAGTACTAAAATCTGACAGCTTAAAGATTATAGTTTAGCCCTGGCCACAAAATCACAAAACTTTCTTAGACTTCAGTTCAGAATGTATTGAAAATTTTTAGCCCTTTATAAAACTTTTGTTGTTTTAATGTATCAAATACATCAATAAAAGATAGGTTGCCAGGCAACGAAACATACGCACAAAGCAGCTAAATTGTCCGAGCAGTCAACAAGAGTTGTCGCATATTTTTACTTTTTTCGGTAATGAAACAGTTATAATGCACTAAAATCTGATTAAAAGTAACAACTCATTATCAGAAAATCATTAGAATTTGTTTGGTTTTAACAAAGTTCTGCCCCATGCTAATGTTTAGTATTTAATATCATGAATTTAGCTGTTCAAGTTATCATTAATTGAAAATCAATTTACTTGTTCGTCTCAAGACCTTAAACTCTGTGTATCAATCTGAAGTCAATCGGATGATAACTTTGGCAGTAATTATCAGAAATTCTTGAAAATCAATAGGATTCTTCGTCTCATGACCTTAAACACTGTGTATAATTCTAAAGTCAAAGTCGCTAGAGCGTCCACAAGATTTTTCAAAGTGATCAAGGGCCATAACTGTGGCAGTAATAATTGGAAATTGCTGAAAATCAATAGCCTTCTTCGTCTCATGACCTTAAACACTGTGTATAAATTTAAAGTCAATCGGATATTTACTTTGACCTCTAGAGAGTCCACAAGATTTTTTGAAGTGATCAAGGGCCATAATTATCGTAACTCACTGAAAATCAATAGGATTCTTCGTCTCATGACTTTAAACACTGTATATAAATTTTAAGTCAATCGGATATTAACTTTGGCCTCTAGAGCGTCCACAAGATTTTTTGAAGTGATCAATGGCCATAATTATCGGAAATCACTGAAAATCAATAGGCTTCTTCATCTCATGACCTTAAAAACTGTGTATAAATTTAAAGTCAATCGGATATTAACTTTAGCCTCTAGAGCGTCCACAAGATTTCTTGAAGTGATCAGGTGGTTATTTCCAATAAAAGTATGGCAATTTTGGTATATATGGAAAATAGAGATATCCAATCTTACTAGAAAAATACTGGATTCCCCGAAGAACATTCATGGAGCGTATACAGGACAAAAATGTAGGGTTCCCCTAATCAACAGCCCGACGATTAAGAATTTCTGCACGCGTGATGTCAAAGGTCACACACGAACATTGAGCGCTTGATGTACAAGTTGATAAACTTTTTGAAAGTTAGACGTACAACACTTTCTGAGATAAAAATGACGGAAAAAGATACGGGTAGTTGATAATCCGAGAATTTAATTAGGATTCAATATTTGTAATAAATAGTAAGCGATTAAAGACAACATCGTCTTATGTATGCAATGTATTCTCCTCTGATTTCAAAGACGTGACGCAAACATGACCTGGTTTGATCGAATTTTAATAGCAGGGCATTCCTTCGCAATTACAATGTTTGAGAAGGATTTGAATCATAATTATGACAAATTAATTAGTTTGAATATGTTTTTAAAATCACCGAGTTTATACGCGGGAACCCATCTTTAAAGTCAATCAGACATTAACTTTAGCCTCTAGAGCAATCCACAAGGACGGAAGGACGGACGGGGGCGACAACAATATACGACCACATTTCAATGTGGGCGTATAAAAACTATGTGCAAAGTTTTGTATTTCTGGATCACAGATATTTTACATAAACAGTGATTGAAAGTTGAGTAAATTCTTAACTTAAGTCTGAGAATGTTTTGTGAGCTTGAGGCCGGGTTATAATAAACCAGATTTATAACATTACTTACATTCAACAGTTTCAGACCAGGTGTCAGTTGCTTAGCTGATCCCTTATCATCGTCTAAATTTCTTAATCTTTTTATATCTGGAGTCATCATCTTGAAAACATTTTAATCTGAATAAAAAAGATTTTGAAATTACAGCAGGAAAACGTATAAATGAATAGAATTGCAATGTGGCTCAGTGAGTAAGGACACAGACTCACTAACCAGTTGACTAACCGGACTAATGAAGACGGGTATACTCCATACAGCGTACTGTGAAGGAAATTGTGCTAAGACAGCGACACTACTCTTATCAAATTCAAACTGCCAAGGGACATTTAAAGTGTACACAGGACCTCTGTTTTACGCTGTTGTTGACCAGGCTCTCTGTGCTGTACCACTGACAAGGTTAGGTGAAATGAATCTCCATGTGTCAGATGATTATAATATACACTGTCTGTGATGGGCGCGCGCAGAATTACGGTAGTAGCAATGCAAATGTTTTTTTTTAATTTTGAATGTGACTTGAACTGAATATTTACTAGCATTCCAACCCTACTTTAAAATCCCAGTCTTCTTGTGTCCAACATCCAACAATTCATACCTGGTACTTGTTTGATACCAGGTACTAGTTTGGTCGTTGTATGGAAGGGACATAAGTCGTGGATACCCAAATCTTACACTTTTCTAGCCGTAAGAAAGTAACATAACTCTTGTGTGTACTTAAGAGTCCCCAGTGTTGTGGTTATTATACTAATGACCGTAACACAGTGTCTATTACTATGCTGGTATATAAATAGATTTCACCGTCTGCAGACTGGGCCTCTTTTTTCAACATTTATGAAAGACAACAGGTCAACTTAATTTTAGTCTATCTACCGTACTTGTACTTCTATTTAATCAATAAAATACAAAGACAGAGATCAGATACATGTTATTGGGGAGCCTGAAAACAAGTCGCACTCAAGGCCTTGGTGATGTTGCCTACTACTAATTGTGATGTCGTCCAAATCTAATTCACACAAGAATCTATAAGGATTTGCGTAAAATTTTTGTAAAAAAAAACATATCTCGGAGAATCGTCAGTCAGGCTGTTTTGAATTAAATTTGTATGACTTACTTTATAGAATACTACATGTATAATAAAATAAAATATTTGTTGTGTTTTTGTTTCATTTCTAACTTATAATTTTGATGAGTTTCTGACTGGCCGTTGTCGTTTGCTGTGTTTATGGAATGTTGTAAAGAAATGTGTGGAAAATTCCCCGATCACAACACAGTGTCTTGTAGAAGTAGAGCACCGAAGGGAATCTGTAATATAACGGTGCAACTCCATTTACATTTGTATTTATGCATTGATTTCAGTTTATACGATAAATATTAATTTGTTTCCTAATTATTTATTTTAATCCCTTTTAAATAATATTTTTAAAAAACTGCTTTAGCAGGCCAACCTTTAAATGAAATATAATTTTGGGTTCCATTTTATCCTTACAAACGATTTGATTCCGCTAGTTCCACATCAATATAATGGTGTTAAATTGTGTCATTCCAATTCTATTCTGTCTCTGTCAAGGTCGGCCACCTGTTTTGGTTTTTTTCACTTTCGTGAAAGTGTGGACATTAAGTATATTCCTTTATTATAATACTTTGTGCAGTTATCAACTGAATTTTTCGTACATTGACATGGCTTCGGGAAGCGAAATTAAAGCTTTAGCTAAAGAAACTTATGAAATGAAGTAAGGAACTAAATGAAAACTATGAGTTTACGTTTGATTCTGAAAATAAAAGCGTAATGCATGCTGTGTGCAAGGTGTGCCGAAAGCACTATAAAACAATAGAAATACAAAGGTAAATGACACTATTTATGCGTTTACCAAAAGTTCCATCTGATTGTTTTATTTTTATCATTGTTGTTGTATTTTGGTGTTTTAGATTAACACAATAAATACAATTTTGTCTTTTAGAAAGTATTATTAAGATTCAGAGGATTTGCGCCGATTGCATATATGAGAATCGTCTTAGATTCTCGCAAAAATGACGCATTTCTAGCCCTGATGTCAAGTGGAAGAATCCATGGATGTGGACGACATAACCAGATTTTTTGTGTGAAAGACTTTGCTTGTGCCGTGGACGACTTGACTGGCATTCCTAAGTGGGTAAGACGCTGGCTCGCTAGCCTGGAGGTCGGGTGTTCGATTCCTGCATTGGCCGAGAAAGTCCATCCAGAATTTCCGGGAAGGTTCCCCCTTGTCAGTCATGCAGGACAAGGACAGCTGTCTAGTCATTTGGATGGTACGAAAAACCAAGGTACTGTGTACACATTGGCAGGCATGTAAAAGATCCCTTGACAGTTGGAATTCGATATATGAGTAGGCCGTAGTGGCGTACGCCCGTCTTCATTAGCCCAGTAGCAGAACAGTAGGACATTAAACCCCATTTCATTTTATTTCATTTGACTGGCATTCTCTTAGTCTTAACAACTAAACAAGGTAAGATTTAACTTTGAAGGGGTAATTAAAGATACATTATGGGAGATTTTTATAGAGAGTCGGCCATTCTTGCTATAACAGTTCAAAAGTAGACGATGAAAGAAGAATATATTGAAAATTTCAGTCAAATTACTTTATTCTGAACAAAGTTATCATCATTGTAATATTTGACTAGAAATGGTAGTCAAATGTATCTTCACCTTGGCCGATCGTTTGATTGACTGGCGTTAACTCCACCTACATAATCTCGATTATCAAGTAACGTTTTCAGTGGTTTGAGACGGGGTTGCAGTTCAATTCGTATCACATTTATTTTTACTACAGATTAAAAATAAGACTTTTATTATATAGATAAGAAGCGAAAGTTTGAAAGGAATGGACCAAATCAATGAGGCATAATTATAGCCGACTTCTTGTTAGCCTGCGTGAACTCTTGTACTGTAATGTGACTACGTGACTCCCGAAGCAGACAAATAGGAAACACTACAGTGATCCAATGGGGCTGCAATTCAACTGGGGTGATGTTAGCTGCGATGTTTATCAATTTCCATAATTTTTCTGTAAACGCAAGTGACAAAAGAGCGATAATACCAACATTCAAACTCTCATTTTAACCACAACTGAACATAATATCAAGGCCGTATATATCGAACTTTCAATCAAATTGACTGACATGCGGCATTGCTCAACAGCGGCCTCGCTTCGTACAGTTATCAGTTAGCCTCGATCTATCTGATGACGTCAACGTAACGGTTAATAATCTCCGCATGGGGCGCCATTTAAGATTTAATCAATCAGTGAAATCCTATTTAAATCCAAGATGTAGCCGAGCCATCAATGGGTCTACAGAGTTGATTTTGGGCTTGTTGTTTAAATATGATCTAATTTATAATTTCTATAACATCTAAAGCCTAAATTAAGACTTGCAATAATCAGATTTAGCTCTTGCATAATGTATGTTTAATAATAGTTTATATTTTAAAGAAAAAATAAATCTACTCAATGATGCAGTTAATCGAACAGTTATCTTGGATAGATCGTAATTTGGATAAATGTAAAAGATTCTATATATATATAAAAAGCGTGCATGTTGATATGATAGCAACGGTAGTAAACTAGAGTATGATGATGTCGATGATGCGAACGTCAAGTTGTGGATTTACTTCAGTGCTATCGGAACGTGTAGAACACTTTCATATTTTTAGCCTAAAACACTTTTCATTCGGATAATTAATCCCCCATAAAAATGCTCAATATAAAAAGAAAACTTTTAGAACTTGGAATGTGTTTTCAATCTTTTTGCACTTACACACACAATATGTCTCCACAGACAAGCTTTCAAATGGATACTTCCTGTATTTACAAATTTCCCGCGGCGAGATGCAAAGACTTTGTTCATTGGACAGTTTTAAAAGCTTTCGTTTTATTGGATATGAAAAAGCAATATGTCAGCGCCCATGCCACAACATCCGGTTGCATTTTTATACGAAATTTGCAACTTCAATAATGTCGGTTCAGCTTCCAGACGACCAAACATCGAAGGAGGAAAGACAAAAACGACATTACAAGATGCTAAATGAGCTGCAGAATATGGCTAGGGAACTACCATTGTAAGGAATTGGATTGAACTCTTTAAATAACTACGGACGGTATTTCACACTTCAGCCAGGAATCCAGGCCAGGAAAATTCTGAATAAATAAATCAGACTGGTAGCTCCCTAAATCAGAAACCTCCACCCCCCATTAGATATAGGCCTATGGGCAGGACAAAAAAAACCCCAAAAAGCAGAATAAGTTAAGTTTTCAATTTCTGTCATTAACAAATGCTATTTAAAATAGGCCTAATAAAGAAATACTTTTTCTTTTAAAAGTGCCTTGTGTTTTATTTATTAATTTGTTATTTACAGTCTTTCTATCGAAATTAAATATCTAGATAATTTAATCTCAGTGGTTTTCTGCTATTTCTAACCTAGAATAGTAGGAGAACGTTTGAACTCTTTAGAGTTACCCACTCCTTAAATATAGGCCTTTGCCGCCACTGATGTATACATCAGACTCATTGTTTGCCGGGAGCCATGGTGGCTAAGTGAGTAAGACGGTGGCTCGCTAGTCTGGAGGTCAGGTGTTCGATCCCTGCATTGACCGAGAAAGTTCATCCAGATTTTCTGGCGTGGTTTCCCTGACAAGGACAGCTGTCTAGTCGTTCAGATGGAATGAAAAACTTAGGTCCTGTGTACACATAGGCTTGCACATAAAAGATCCCTTGGCAGTTGGAATTTGATATAAGGGTAGGCTGTAGGGCTGCTGCCCGGGCAAAATTTCCCTCATAGCACACAGTATGGCTATATGGAGTATTAGCCCAGTTTAGGAGCAGAACAGTAAGACGTTAAACCCCATTTCATTGCACTGTTTGCCGTATTTCTTTATTAGGCCTATTATAATAGTACATGTATTTGTTAATGACAGAAATTTAAAACTAAACAAAATTAACGCATTGCAACGAATGTGTTTTATTCTGCGTTGTTTTGTTTTTTTTGTTTTTTCTTCCCATTTATTTTTATGAGGAGAAAACTCAGAAATTAAATTATAGTGAAATCTAATTTTGGTTGAAAAACCGTAAATAATAATTATTATTTCATTAGCGTAGACTTATTAACACTCGACACAAACCAGGTCATTTCGGGACTAACATATGGTTCAATATAATATCAATAATTCTCTAGCGTGTGGGGGTGTTAAGCAGTGGAAGGAAACCGGAGGAGCCAGAGATAACCCATGAGGTTGCTGAATGAAAACAGCGAGTTGAGTTGTACCTGACAGATTGTGCCATTTAGAACTTGTACCAGACATGTGCATGCATAAATTAGATAAATCGGTAACAGACAATGACTGGCACCAGAGTGATTGTGCCTAGCAATGTCTGTATTTGGTGCCTTATATCCAGGTTTGTTTTAATTTCAGGACTTTTCAGCAGAGATTACCGTATGACTTGTTGTCGAGTTTAGCCAGTTCGTTATTAGATTCTACTGTGTATGATATAGTTCATAGTTTAGAAGAAGTTCAACATCTGGAAGAAAAGGCTATGTGTAGTACTCGTTCACGAATGGTCAGTGAACATAAAGGTAATGTGTCAGATTGACTAATAAATGAAAAAAATGAAATGGGGTTTAACATCCAACTGTTCTGCTCCAACTGGGCTAATCAAGACGAGTATACCCCATACAGTGTGCTATTAGGGAAATTTTGTCTGCACAGCAGCGCTATGGTCTACTTTTATGTCGAATTTCAACTGAACGGGCTTTTTGCATGTATGCCAGTGTGTACATGGGACCTCCGTATTTTGTCCCATCTGAACATTTTCAGCCAACACCAGGATCGAACCCGCGACCTCCAGACTAGCGAGCCCGCGACCTCCAGACTAGAGAACGCGCGACCTCCAGACTAGCGAGCCCGTGACCTCCAGACTAGCAAACCTACGAACTCCAGACTAGCAAACCCACGACCTCCAGACTAGCAAGCCAGCGTCTTACTCTTAAGACTATAGGTTAGACATCTAAATTTGATGACCATTTGCCTTGTTTCATCTGTAAGAATTCAAATTTAGCAATAAATCCATCCAGACCATCACTGCCAGACTGGATAATTAAGACTTGTCGTAGATGTGCAGTCTTTACTTTATTTTTCAGCACAACATCATGTAATGCAGAAGAAACATAAAGAATTATTGCAGCAGTGTGAAAATAAACCACATAACATTCCACTTGTACAGGCACAGATTGACAGGGAATTGGAGGTAGGCATAATTATAGACCACTTAATATTTTACAAACTCTGATCGGCATTGAATTGAAGGTATCCATAATAGACCACTAATATTTCACTGACACAAGCTCCAATCGACATCGAATTGGAGGTAGGCGTATAATAGACCACTAATATTTTATTGGCACAAGCCAGATCGACAAGCAATTAGAGGTAGAGATAGACCACATAATATTTCCCTGACACAAGTTCGGTAGTGTCTGGCATTCTTTCAGGTAGGCCTACAACTGAAAATGAAATGAGTTTAATGATCGGTTACACCAACTTGTGGATGTAAATCTATTCCACATGGCCATCTGCAGATTTCCCCAATGTTTTAAGATGTAAACAGGGTTAGGGCACTTGATTGTTACCGAGGATTGTGAGTTATGGTAAGGGTTAGGATAAGGGTTAGGGCTAGGTCTTGTTTTAAGGCTAGGGTAAGTGCTAGTCCTGTTTATATCTCGTGACCTATGACGAAATCTGCAGATGGCCATGTGAAATAGATCTAACCCCAACTGGTTGGACAAAGACAGGTGTATGAGGGAGATTTTACCTGGACAAAAGGTGCTACAACCTACTCTTCATGGAGTGTTCTGTTACACTGGACCTTGTTTTAGCTCGTTAGGTCTGTCATTGGGTCAAATGGCATCATTTCAATTCCCTATTTGTGTACGTGACAATGAGTAGAGTTGCCTCCTGTCTAACCTTGACGGTTTTCTCCCACTACTAAAGACCAATTATTGGAATAAAATTGAACCATGTTAGTCCCGAAATGACCTAGTTGTGTCGAGTCGATTTTAAACCCCATATCTCTCTGGACCGTATTTTTTTAGTCCCATCCAAATGACTAGACACTGTTTCTTGTCATGGCCACCATCTTGCACCACTGAGAATAGCAAACCAGTTAGTGAACCAGCCCCTTACCCTCTGAGCCACCATTGGAGAACTTTCTCGGTCAACACTCCTACCTTTTTAGGGAGCTGTGGTTGCTCAGTGAGTAAGACGCTGGCTCGCTAACCAGGAGTTCTGGGGTTTGCTTCCGATGTTTGCCGAGAAAGTTCAATCTCTAGTTATTAGAATTGTGTGAAAAAATACAAGGTCCTGTGTACACATGGTGTGCACGTAAGAACGCTTGACATTTGGAATTTGATTTCAGAGTAAGTTGTAGCAGGAGCCAGGGTGGCTGGGTGGTTAAGGCGCTGGCTCGCTAGCCTGGAGGTCGGGTGTTCGATCCCTGCATTGGCCGAGAAAGTTCACCGTGATTTTCCGACGTGGTTTCCCCTTGTCAGTGGTGCAGAACGGAGGGCCTGACAAGGACAGCTGTCTAGTCCTTCGGATGAGACGAAAACTGAGGTCCCGTGTATACATTGGAATGCACGTAAAAGATCCCTTGGCTGTTGGAATTCGATATAAGAGTAGGCGATAGTGCCGCTGCCCGGGCAAAATTTCCCTCATAGCACACTGTATGGCGTATGCCCGTCTTCATTAGCCCAGTCGGTGCAGAAACGTTATAATTCGTTGTCATAATTCATCTTTTAATCATAATAATCGCTGAATTTGCATATTAATTTATAAATTCTGATAGTTTAAGCTCTGATACTTACATTCTACTTGAATATTGTTTATCCCTGTATGACCTCACAAACTTTAACCAAATATTATTTTGGTAGCCAACCAAATTATAGGAGGCAAGCAGCTAACTCAATATCATCCACAGTCTTCCACATGACTTATTGGTCAATTTAAATCAACATTGATGTTGTTATCTTACTGTGAAATGATGGACATCTGATATCCAATATTTAAGACAAAATGAAAATTTTAAAATTAGCACACGAATTACGTTCTGGAATGCTTCTGAGTGCCATTTTTAATGAGACAACTTGATGAACAAGTCTAAACGCTAAACATACCCCACAGGAGAATACTACCAGTGTAGACTGGAATAACCAGACGCCAAAGGCTGCCATTCAATTGTGACTCTTCGAGTATTTCACCGAACATAACTGACCTGAAATTACAGTAAAAATGGAAACGATTGAATGTAAATTAGTTTATATACATTCATATTACATCAGGGCCGTAACTAGCTCAGAGCAACGACAGGGGCGGGAAGTGTTCTCGGGGGTGCTGTAATATTGACGGACAATGTATATCTAGTTTTTTTATGGTTGAAAATTTTTTCACGGGGGGGGGGGGGGCGAAACTTTTTGCAAGGGGGGCAAAGCCCCCCCTGTGCCCCCTCTAGTTACGGGCCTGTATTACATTATTATATGCGTTGCGACCCATTTGTATCCATTCCTAGGTGTCAAAGAATAGGGATTTAGCTCCTTTAAGAATTAAGAGTTTTCAAATTTGTGATATTCAATAAGTTTGTAGACTACCATAACAAGAATGTTTTAACTCCCTCCTTGTGGTAGGTTTATATAAATTAATATGAATATTCCTACTTTTAATTTTTTTTTTTTATTAATAACAATATCATTACTTTAACAAAGACTGGACATGGTTGTTTTTTATAAATTAATAAAGTATTACTAATTTAACAAAGACTGGACATGGTTGGATTTTATAAATTAATAAAATATTACTAATTTAACAAAGACTGGACATGGTTGGATTTTATAAATTAATAAAATATTACTAATTTAACAAAGACTGGACATGGTTGGATTTTATAAATTAATAAAATATTACTATTTTAACAAAGACTGGACATGGTTGGATTTTATAAATTAATAAAATATTACTATTTTAACAAAGACTGGACATGGTTTGTTTTTATAAATTAATAAAATATTACTAATTTAACAAAGACTGGAGTGTTTTGTTGGGTTTTTTTTGGTTTTTTTAGAACATAATGACAATATTACTAATGGTTGGTGTTTGTAAAATAATATTGCTAATTACAGATGATAAATAAAAGATGTGATGAAGAAATGAAGAAAAAAGATATGAAGATTATTTTAGAGTTAGATCAGAAAGCCATGGAACAACAGAATCTGTTAGAGAAAGTTGGTGTACCAGGATTCTATGTTACTAATAATAAACTAGAAATGAGACTTCAGATGTATTTATTGGATTTTATCATGAGGATTAGTCGTGCAGAAAAAGAAGGAAAATTTGACACATAAAAGTCTTCACTGTTTGTTATTGTCAAACTGAAGCTTTGAAAAGGACTAGAAACTCAACGTTTTAGTTAGACAGAAAACTAATTTAACTGGATCATGTTAAATTGAAGGGTTGAATGGACGAGAAACTTAAAAATCTAATGAAAGTGAATAGAGGATAATTTGACACATGAATCTTTAATTGGATGTGCTAAGGGCATGTTAACGTACAGAAGGGCAAATTTGACTTTAAATGTCATTTAAACGAAGGATAGAAAACGAGTAAGCTGATACTCTAGTCAAACCTCTCATGTATTTCAATTCCAATTTGTGTTAAATAAATAAATCACACGTGTGATAAATAAATAAACCACAGGTTTGTTAAATAAATAAACCACAGGTTTGTTAAATAAATAAACCACACATGTGTTAAACAAACCGCACGTTGGTTGAATAAATAATGTATTTACTCTGTAATGGTGACCTCTAAAAGTCCTGGGGGTCAAGTGAGTTGAATCTCAAGCCAGTATGTGACTAGGAGTAGGTTCCCCTGTCCATCCTAATGAGGTTTCTACTGCTAAAGACGGCCTAGGCACAAGCGAATTATTGAAATAAATTTGTACCATGTTAGTCCCGACTGGCAAGTGAAGTTAACGTCCACGTCTCTCTGTCTATCCGTCTCAAACTCAAACCGTTAAGTAAAAAGCCTAAAATAGTTGCAATTGTCCCCATAACAAAGTCAACCATGTTAATCCGGCCTTGGTTGTTGTTGTTATGTTGAGGTTGTGGATCTATTTTCATCTACTGTTCCATGGCAAGCCGATTGTTTAAGGTTCCGTGAAAAGCAGTGTATTTAAGGTTCCATGACCAGTCGATTGTTTAAGATCCCATGGCAACGATGTGTCCCTATTTTCTTAAACATGCATTATGCAAGAGCTAAATCTGCCTATCGCAGGTCGTTATATAGGCCTAAAATGTTATCTAAATTATTAATTAGACATTAATTAACTTATCAAGACCATAATCAACTTTCGATGTCAAGGCTAGCCTTCGATATCGACTGGATTAGAATCCTATATGCTGCTAACGCTCATTGATAATTAAATCAAAACATTGGATAATCGAGACTATGCTTTTTAAGTACTAACTTTAGTAATGATGAACGAGGCTATGCGCAAATTTCCAAAGCTGATATCTCGGTTCATAGTGGATCAATTTGACTGAAATTTTCAACAAATTACCTTTACATTATCTAGTTTTTAACGATAATAGCGAGAATTGTCAGCTCTTTATCTAATCTCCAATAATGTATCTTTAAGTTAGATGTGAAATCCCCCTCCCCCCTTTTCTAAAGACCCCAACGGACAAGCGAATTATTGAAATGAAATTATACCATATGTTTAATTCCGGCCGAAATGACCTAGTTTGTGTCGAGTGAACGTTATGAACCCATTGTCACTTTCTAGAGACCTTATCAAGTTATCAAACAAATTTCTTTTGACCGTTCTATGTACCTCAGATCCACGGAATGACACAAGGAAGGGCCACCGCCGTACTGGACTCTCAGTTTTGATTTCGATAAACCAGGGCCTACCTTATATCGCCGCGTTTGTGGCGAACCGACGAATCTGATATATACTAAGCAGCAAAAGAAACGTCAGGTTGGTATGTTACTCGGAATAAAACTTGCCAAATGTTTTTATTGTATATTTATGCCCACATCTCCAACTTTACCTGAGCAATAAGGCTCCTTCCCAAACACAGAATTGAACCCAGGAAATTTTCTCAAAAACGCAACCTGACTTCAGAGATGGTAATGTGTTCTCCATGATTTTCATGTAATTTGAAATTGCCTTCTGTTGTTATCTCTGTAGCTATCAAATAATAACATTTATGTAAATGGCGTTCGGTGTCCTGATGTATATGTATGAAATATTAAATCATAAATGAATGTTATTATTTGATATCCACAGATATAACAGAACACAAATTTCAAACACATAATTCTCAATACTTAAATATATCAGATTCGATTGTTGGCCAGTACTCACACGTGTGTAGTTTGGACGTATATAGTCGTCACCCGGTCGGTCTGTCTGTCTTTATCTATGAACAATTGGCTTGTTAACGCGATAGAGGCTACAGTTTTTAACGGATCTTTTTTCAAATTGGGTGTGGTCATGAGAGAACGCACCATTTCGATATTCAGAGTTCAGTAACCTTCGGTATATATTTCTTGAGGACACGTGCGTTGTTTTCGTTTAGGATAAGATGCTCTCGAATCTATAGCAATCTGTTTTTTCGAGACACAGCTGATGTGTTGGCGTATAATAGTTACACGTTTTGCGTGGTTGTCTTTTAATTTAGGAAAATAACCCCGCGTGTATGTCAATGTTTTGCCCGTATAGATGTTGTTTTTATACAGGGAGCGGCGATGGCTCAGCGAGTAAGACTGCTCGATAACATGAAATGAATGAATGAAATTGTGTCTGCACCGACTAATGATAGGCTAACTAGGGGGTGTCTTTGGGACAGGACTGAATGCTCCTTGTTGTCAGAGAGAGTGTGTCTTTGGGACAGGACTGAATGCCTGGAACGGAACAACAACTATTCGTTCGGATGAGACGAAAAACAGAGGTCCCGTGTACACATTGGCAAACACGTAATAGAACACTTGACAGTTGAGATTCAGTTGTTGCCCGTGCAAGAGGGCCTGTTCAGGAACAATGTATATTCGTTCGGATGGAACGAAAAGCCAAGGTCCCGTGTACGCATTGATGTGCGCGTAAAAGAACCCGTGGCTGTTTGAATTTGATATAAGAGTAGCATATTGTATGGCACACTGTATGGCGTATGCCCGTCTTGATTAGCCCAGTCGGAACAGAACAGTAGGACGTTAAACTTCATTTCATCTCGTTTTCATATGTCCGGTTTACTTTCCAGCCCCCCCCCCCCAGTCCAGCGCAAAAGACAAGGGAAAACCAGATTAGCTAATCAGGGCCGTACTCAATAAACCACCGCTGCCCCCCCTCCCCCCAACAAAAATATATCTAACAATACAAGAAGATAAAACAACCATTATTGCTCTTCAAGTTAGTTGATATTATTGTTTAATGTTATCAAATTACAGGATTGACTATCTCATTTTTAAACGAACAAAAATACTGAGCCGCCGCGATTCCCCCAAAACAAAACAAGATCGAACAATACAAGAAAAAACATTTTATAGCTCTTCAAGACAGGTAATATTCTGGTTTACACACAAACAAAAATATTGATGAATGATGTACAGAATTAATATTAAAAATTGACTAGAATATCAAACCTATAATCAACTATTACTATTAATACGTACTCTGGTGATTATGCTGTACGACAACCCTTTTCAAGAATGCAATTTTCTCCAAAGTGTCCATTTTATATAGTCTAAGACCATCGTTTTGACAGGTGTACTTGGCACTTGTAAATGAAGATAGGTAATCTGATAACAATATACACGTCTCAGAAACCGAATCATATTTATAATTGCCAGAACCCAGACATTTGTCTTCTGCAAAAACAAAAAAACTCAACAATTCTTTAAAAAAAAGGAGAAATGCTAAACCTTATTCAAGTCGCCGGTGCATAGTCCAATGCAGTGGACTTTGAAGGGGTAGTGTGATAAATGTGGCTGACACTAAATTATACACATTTAAAACGGAAAGTCAAATAGTGTGGTTTCCGGGTTACGAGAGCGGGAAATGATACTTAAAAGGTTATCAAAGTTATAGTACTTCATGTACCTAGGCAAATATCCTCATTACAGGGCCTGCTTTGGGTGTCTTTCCCGTCGCAACCAATTCCAATTAGTTAGATACAACGTGCTTTGTAACGCAGCTACAACGGTCGTGGCAAGTTCCCATTGGCTACAATGTGCTTGGTAACATAGCTACAGCTGACCTAGTAAGTTCTCATTAGCTACAATGTTTGTGTCGAGTGGACGTTAAACCCCATTTCTCTCTCTCTTTAGTTACTATGTTAGTAGTAGCTTAGTAATTATGTTCCTTAATATGTTATTGGTTACTTACGTTAAGTAACTTACCGGTATCACGACACACAGTAGAATCGAATGCATCCGCACTTTCAGACTGTATCAACCTTATCAGACCTAAAAACAAAGCATAATCGAATACAAGAACAATTCGAAACATTATCAGCCTTAAGAGACCAAACAACAAACTAGAGTTGTCCTTATAACAACTTTCAGAATTTTTATACAACACCATCTTAAACCCATACATTAATTACATTATTCAGAGAATAGGTCAAACTAGGTCATGTCGGGACTAACATATGCTCCATTCAATAATTCGTTTGCGCGTAGGGGTCTGGGAGAAAATCAGAGGAACCGGAGAAAACCACACCCCTTGCCATGTAGAAGCGGGAAATCGAAACCACACCACTTGACTTTACTCAATGTCAGACCTTATGATCTAAGGCGTGTACACATTGACGTGCTCGTAAAAGATCCCTTGGCAGTTGGAATTCGATATAAAAGTAGGCCGTAGCGCCGCTTCCTCTCTCCCCTCGTGCTTGGTAACGACGAAAGGCTTCTTATCATGCCTATATAACTGACTGTTTTCCATAAACATTGTGTTGTATATAGTTTGTATTTAATTATAATAATACGAACCGACTGCCAAAACGACAAAAACCTGTAAATTCCACAGAATACTGCCCATGTTTATATTCATGATTCGATTCAATCCACTACAGAAAAAAATGACGAATACTGTAACAAATATATCGGAATAACCCGTAAAATAATCTCTAAATATATTGGAATTCTTAACAAAATATATTGGAATTCTTAACAAAATATATTGGAATTCTTAATAAAATAGATTGTAATTCTTAACAAAATATATTGGAATTCTTAATAAAATAGATTGGAATTCTTAACAAAATATATTGGAAATCTTTTAAAATATATTCGAATATATGAATTCTCAGTAAGATGCTAGATTGCTGGCTTGGAGGTCTTGTGTTCGATCCTAGGCTAGGGATTTTCCTGTGTGAGTCCTCATTGTAAGTGTTGCGTGTACGTAAATGGTCCCTTGGCAGTTGCAATGTAAGAGTAGGCCGTATGTAATAATATTGCTAGAATTTTTGCTCTTGAAATAAGATGCCTTTATATTTCATTAATTAATATCTTTGGCAAGTTAGTAATTTCAAACATATTCACATATATAGTGTGCACTAAATCAACTTATTCTGTAATTGACAGTTGACACATAAAAAAGAGTTATTTATCGAAAACATATGTCACTCATTTACCACCAGGATTACACGTGAGTGGAATTATTCTAATTGCATCATTTAGCTTAAAGT